CTATAAGGATTTTTACTCTCACTCAGATGGATCTGATGGAGTTTACTTTGTAATACTTAACTAAAACGCGAGCAAAACATCCACGAACATTGCCGCTACTGACCTTCCTATCCAACTCATTTAAATTCATGTATAGTAATTCATGCAGTAGTAACCAGTACTGCCTAGTTAATGTTCGTAGGGTTGCCGTTTCCGAGTCGGGTCGACGTTCGTGTCATTTTCATCGGGCCGGCCCGACCGAGTCTTTTTCCGGCCAAAATTCAAGGCCCGACTCGATCTTTCGGACCGGACCGTGCCGGCAACCCTATTCGTGATGTTTTCCTCACTGTTTTCATTATTAAACTATTGATCTATCTTTTTATTTTTCAGCATGTTTGGGGTGATTATGATAGATCTCACGCTGTTGTTATCGTTGGATATGGAACTGCCTCTTGTGGTTATGAGAAAATACCTTATTGGATTATTAGAAATTCTTGGGGTACTAACTCAACCGGTAAAGGTTTTCTCAAATTTCGACGTGGAAATAACGAATGTGGAATTGAACAAACTGTTTCTTTTGGAATTCCCAAAATTAATTGAATGAGCATTTATTTGAAAATATTACAAAATATTTATCATAATTTTATATGATTTTGAATTATATGTATAGTGTAAATAATATTATGTAAATAAATAATCTAAAAAATTTAACACCTTGTATGGGACTTGATTTTAAGAAATACAGTAATTACTTTTGATTTGCTGCTCAAAACCTCTCACTAGAATCATGGATTTATTAACTAGAATTATGGATCCAAGTTTTTAAAGTCAGATAAAGCCGCTCACTCTAACGAGTCAGGTCTTGTAGGTATTCAACTCACACCCATGACTTCATCTGTCGTTTCATAATTTCACATCACTTTGAAAAGAATCATATAACTTTACCTATTCTTATTAAATTTATTATGATGTTTTGTTTTTATCATCATGAATAAATATACTATTGAAAATATTACGAATAGGTATACTATTGAAAAAAATTATTTAGATTACAGGAAAATTAATGAGGAAGTTGTTAGTGCCTATAGTTATTCGAATTGTTAAACATTTATTTAAACTAAAAGCTTACATAAGGAAATTTTATAAAAATTAGAATATTTTTTGTTAAATCCCACGTCATATTATGTGTTATTATTGTACATCAACAATAGTTCCTCTTTAAATTAAATAGACAGAAAGAAAATATTTTTAATAAATCAGTAAAGCATGATGACATTTTAATTTAATAAAATAATTTTTAATTTTATTTATATTTCATTAAATTTAGTACTTATTAATTTAATAAACCCAAAACAACGCAACGCCATAACTTGATTCAAAATTTCCTTATCTTTTAGTATAAACGATTCATCTTATCGAGCTAAAGAGATTAGTACCAAAACTGATGAGGGCCAGAAATTTTCCGGCTAGTTATGGCTTTGCGTAGCTATGGTCGCGCGTTGTTTTGGGCTGTACCCTTTACTTGAAAGCTTCAACTAATTTTATTAAAGAGCAATAATTATCCTCCAAGTTATTTTTAAAAAATAAAAATGAAGAAAATGGCCACTATATTTTCAATATTATTATTACTAGACCTTGTATTAATCTCCAAATCTGATCAACTCGGCGATTTACTAGACAGTTTAATCACAGGAGCAAGTGATGATAAAATAAATAACATTATAAATTATCTAAGAAATCTTCTTAATGGAATTCTGGATTTGACTTATCAAGAACTTTACAATCTTGTAGACGTTTTAAATTTACTAAATAGTATGGGCATAAAAGTAACTGAAGAAAAGCTCAAGTCAACCGCACAAAATGTAGTTTTAATTAATGGACTAACTAATGGAATTTGGACAGCTAAATTGGGGTACTTCAGTCTCTTGCCAGATGAGTATCAGAAGAGACTTTCTGGGGTTACTGATATTGAAATGGAAACTGTAACAGGAATACAAACAATTAGAAACAAAAGACAAACATCAAATTTAAAAAATGCAACTACACAACAGAATTTGATGTTCGAGATAAATGGCCAAATTGTTCTCCTTTCCTCAATCACGTGCCTGATCAAGCTTTTTGTGGTTGTTGTTGGGCTATGTCAACTGCTTCTGCCTACACAGATCGCCATTGTATTGAGCGGGATAAAAAGGGAATGAGTACATTACGTACTGCAAATACTATATTTTCGTCGTATGAATTGCTTTCTTGTACATCCGAATACACATCTAATTCATCTAAGAACAAATCTAATTATGACTGTAGAGGGGGCTCGCCTTACAAAGCTTGGGAATTGATAAAAAGCAATGGAATTTGTACAGGATCTGATTACTTAGGTGAAGGTGGATGCAAGCCATATCCGTTTGGACCTAAAAACTCATTCCCTATTCTCAAAGATTGCTATAATAAGTGTACCAACAAAACCTGGGGAGTACCATATGATGCTGATAGAAAGAATTACGGTATTTTTTACAGTATTTCTGTTTAATTGTTATGTTCAGTATCATCTACTAGTACCTTAAAAGGAGAACAGGCTATTATAGACGAACTTAATAAGAATGGACCTGTTGTTGCTATCTATAATGTCTATAAGGATTTTTATTTTTACGCAAGTGGGGAGGATGGAGTTTACTTTGTAATAACGTTATCGAGCAAAACATGCACGAACATTGCACTAACTGATCACTATCTTCCTACATAGAGTAAAGCAGCTGGGCTATAGCTATTTCCCTCCTTTAGCTAGTGCAAAAGGTTAATCGGCGGCTGGTAGCGAACCAGCATCCTCAGGAGACCGGACTGATGCGTTAGCCATTACCACGCCGCCTACTATACATCCCTAGGAATTAAATAGCTATGTGCTTTAATATAGACACACGCCTCATTTAAAAGACAAAGAACTTAAGTATTAATCGAAGAAGCTTGATCTACAATTCTTCACTCAGATCACCAAAAAGTTAATCCGATTACCTCATAAATTATTAAAGTCTTTAAATGACAATGAAAAAAACAATGACAAGTAATGTTTAGGTAGCTCAATGTTCGTGCATGTTTTACCCGGCTCCTTTCATTATTTGATCCTCTATTTATTTTTAGCATACTTCGGGTGATTATGATAAACCACATGCTGTTGTTATTGTTGGATATGGAACTGCTTATTGTGATAATGAGAGAACACCCTATTGGATAATTAGAAATTCTTGGGGTACTAGTCAGAATTTAACCGGATTTCTGAAATTTAAACGTGGAAATAATGAGTGTGGAATTGATGCAAATTTATCTTTTGGAATTCCTAAAATTAATTGATCAAAAATTTATTTGATAATAAATATATATATGTAATATTTATCAAAAAATTTTTTATGATTCTAAATTATTGTACATATATTTGACATGCAAATAAGTAATGGCCGGAGCCTTGGCCGGAGCCTTGGCCGGAGCCAAGATTTTGAAAAAGGTCAGAACCCAACAGATGCCCAATACCCAGCACTGGCTTATATACGAATTTTTGATTACCCAATAAAGAAGTTGATAGCCATTACAAACTTGAGTATTTTGAATGAATAATATTTTTTCTTTATTATTTATTTGCATAAATACATATCATTGAAATCACTTAAAAATAATTCGCGTTATTATCAAAGACGGACGTAGACTGAGTGGTTACCCGACACTTGCGGAACGACATTTGCGGATCGACAGTTGCGGATTGAATTTTGCGGAACGACATATGCGGACCCGATATTTGCGGACCGACAGAAGCGGATCTGACATTTGCGGACCCAGTACTCTTAAAATATAAAAAGTATAAAAAAAAATAATTTTTTAAGTAAAAAAATAACAATGTTCGCTCATTTTCAAAATTTTCGTTCTCGGTAATGAAACCCCCGATATTATTTAATTTTGGATTATATTTTTTAACGGGACTGTACCAGCGACACTAAAAATAAATCAAAAATTTGTCCCGTGGGACTTAACCTCCTTTGATCTTGTAAAAGTTTCGTCCAGAATCATGAGGTCGTCTTGGACTTGTGTCTTGGAAAATTTTCGAATTTGAACAACACTAATATTATCACAGTTTCTCGGTATCGGTGTTAACCTATGATTAATGAAAGTGCTGAAAGCATATCTTAGACACCTAAACTGAGTATACATATGAGGGTGGAGAATGAGGGAAATGCTAATAGGGAATGCTAACATTTATGATTAAAATTCGTAATTTTCTTACCAAAAATACTAACACATAATTCTTATAAGATTTTATTTCAATATTAACATATAATTATTAAAATTCACAAAATAAATCGAGTTTAAATCCAATAAAAATTTAAACATTCGGATTTGCGTAAGAAAAATGAATATTTTCAATGTTACATTCATTAACTCCACGACGTATTTTAAAAAATCCATCTTCTCCAAATTCTTTACCCCATGAATTTTTGATAAACCAATAGGGTGCTTCTGTTCTACCGCATACTTCAATGCCATGTCCAATTACTTCGACTACATGGTTTTCTCTAAATGCAGCATTCCTACTTCTTTAAATAAATTTTAAAATTAATAATTTTTATAAATTAATTTTAATTTATTTCGAATATAATTTTCGCTTGTTTTTGTATATTACGCTTATTACTATCAAAAAATCTGATGCCCGTTCTAAAGGGCAGTGTTTGGAAATTTAAAATTTGTTCTTACTTTTACTTCGTGCAGATATTTTTTCCTCGTATTAGTTGTGCACAAGTACGAGTACAAATTTAGGTACGGGCTTCCATGCGTGCTTCCATTGGGTACATGCTTCCATGTCCGTTAGGAATACTTATTATACTATAAGCTAAATTAAATAAAGCTCTAAAAAAGCTATAGTTGGGGAATCCGGATATCTGGACCCGAAAAAGTCCAAAAATTCTGTATTCCAGATCATTTTGATATTGGAAATTAAGTAGTTTAGAATTGGTGTAATATTTATCTACTACTTTTTTGATTAATTAAGCTAAACTCATTCGGAAAACCTCAAATTTTAAAATAAAATTTACACGATAAACTCCTCCCTTATGTGCATACAAATCAGAGTAGGCTTCAAATATAGCTACAACAGGTCCGTTTGTTTCAAGTTCTTTCACACCGGAAGTGGAAAAAGCCCAGCAACTGCCACATCGACCTTGATGAGAAACTCGGTTAATAATTGGAGCGCATTCAGACCACTTTATACGTGAACTAAAAACATTTTTGTAAGTGCAGGTTGCTCTTTTATCTCTAGGATGTTCATCATCTTTGTTGCTTTTTTCTGGAGAATCTTGAGGAGGAAGCTCTCTTTCTGGAACCTCTCCCTTATGAACTTCAATGTCCGAATCAACACCTTCTGATATTTGAGTACCCCCAAGAAGCCTCATTTGCATTTCTACGGGGAAAAAGTGGAAAAGTGTAATTCCAACTTCTTTACTTCCTTCAATATCTTCTTTAAATTTTTCCAATTCATTTAATTTTTCTTTAATTTGTTCGGTACTCAATTCTACATTGAATTCATTTTTTAGTCTGTCTACTATTGCTACAACTTCTTTAATTTGTGATTGAGGTAAAGATTTCCAAACAGTAGTTTAAGAAGAGATTCAAGTAGACCTCCAAGAAGCTGCGCGGAAGTTAATGAACCAAAGGATGTAATTATTACAAATATTAGTAAAACAAAAAATAAGCTAGACGTTATTTTCATATATATAAATATTTAATAGTTGATCATCAATATATTGATCAAACCAGGGTGGCCCTTTTACCCTATTTATAGAGGATTTTCCCTGTTTTTGACCTTTTCGCCCTATTTTTTCCCTATTTTCTCATTTGCCATAATTTTGCCATATTTTTACCATCTTGTAAAATTTTAAAAAATTTTCGCATTTTGTAAAAAAATGGTAAAAATGAAGGATTTTTGACTTACTTGCCTTTTAAAATGCTCAAAATTTTTGCCTGCGGCGCAAAAATGGAATTAAGCTGGCTTCTTGACCTCCAAAATTCTCAAAATTTTCGCATTATTTGAAATTTTAATTATGTTTAAGCCTTTAAAGCTATGGTCTATTTTTGCCCTATTTTTGGCTGATTTCGTCCTATTTTTGCCCTATTTTTGAGTGGCTGCGCCCTATTTTAGTGTTTTGGAAGGGGCCACCCTGGATCAAACATAAAGTATTTTCGGGATATTTTAACTCTTCCTTATGGCGTTAAAGTTGATTGTATTCTCAGGAAGCCTCTTGACCCTTTTCTTAACCCTAATATAAATGAATCTTTAGCTATACTTAAGTTATAAGACAAAAATCAGTGATTCTTTCTGTGGAGCATTAAATATTTTAAAATTAATTGTAGATCGGAAAAATGTTTAAATTTTTATTTAGAATAGATTTTGTTATCAAAATTTAAATGAAAATGGATTGTATTAACTAGTGAATGCTTAGGGAATGATCGAGTATTTTCTAAAATATTTAAAATTGGGAATTTATTATTTTATGTTCTTATTTGTTTAAAAATGAATTATAATTTGAATTTATTAAATAAAATTAAAATTCTGTTCATATAAATAAGTAGTCATGTTCTGTTTATATTCAAAGCTTTGATAAGCATGATATAAAATATATTACGTGGAAAATTTGTAAACGTTGCATCTTAAGACATTCTCGTGATATTTTTATTTTTATTCCCAAAACATTTTGTTAAACATTTAATTGTTGTCATCTCATTTATGTTTAACAATTCATCACCACATAAAATTAAAAAAAGAGTTTTCGTGTTGGATGATTCTATTGTTTAAGCTTGAAATAAAGGAAGTAAAATTTAAATATTTATTACAATTTAGAAACATATGTATACTTCGGCCAAACTTTTTTAAACAATATTTTTACATTTTAATATTGTTGATAGTGAAAAAAATATTTTTAAGTATCCAAATATTATTGTTAATGGGTTGGAACCAGAGGTGGGCCGGAATTCTGATTTCCGAGTTCCGACTTTTGAGCCAGTTCCGAATTCCGGCACCTCTGACTGTTCCGACACCTCTGACTGTTCCGACCACCTCTGGTTGGAACGAAAAGAATGATCTATCCGTGAATGACACTATAGCCCTATAGATGGCCCTATAAATTTTTGTAGAATTTTCTTACTGTTAGAAACACGAAAAGCTAAAGTGCGCTTATTCTTTTGAAAAAGTAAGAATTCACAAAATTTTAAATTTTGCTGAAGTATTTGAATAATTTCAAGAACGCTTAATATCCCATACTTTTAATTTAATTTAATAATTTTTTGTAAAATTTGATATATTTGCAGAACTCAATCACGAGATACTCAAGTTCTCTCTTACACTTTTTAACATGTCTTAAGAAAAATTCGATACTACCGAGGTACTAGCGATAATACCGACTCGGTACTTTTCGGTCTACTTGTATTGGCATTAAATAAATCAATTTCCTACAATTATTTTGAAAAACGCAATAGAAAATTTTAAAAAGAATTTAAATTCGAATCTAAATTGATAAATATTAATCAACGTGACAAATTTACCTAGACATTCTAGATCTTCGTATTTATTTGGAAATTTGTTGTTTCTTAAAATGGATTCCACATAAGTAAAATTAATTATTCTTCACCAAAATTATCAAAAAATTATACAATCAACAATCAAAATAAAACAAATATTAAAAAATTAATTTTTATCAGATTAACATTTTTATTTCAATTTTAACACAATTAATTAAACCCGGGAATACAATAAAAATTTAAACTCTTGGAGTAACGTAAGATAAATGAGTATTTTCAATGTCACATTCATTGACTCCACGACGTATTTTGAAAAATCCACTTTCAGCGAATTCTGTGCCCCAAGAATTTTTGATTATCCAATATGGGGTTTCTTTATTATCACATACTTCAATTCCATGCCCAACTATTGAAACGACATGATTTGTTCTAAATACAGCATCTTGACTTTTCTAAATAAATTTTAAAAATGAGTACATTAATCATTCTAATAGGACTACATTGCTTATACTTTTAGTTTCCTTGTAGGATTGGATTATATGTAAGCTGGAAGTGTGATGTGCTTCTGTTAGGGAGTTTAGTTCTTGCAGAAGTTACGTATATTTCTAATATTTTTAAATTAATTTTGATATTTTTAAATTAATTTTGATAAATCTCAAATATTAATTCATTTATAGTACTTTTAATTTATTTTAGAGTAAGGTATGATCGTGCTCGGAGAGCTTCTTGGCCTTCGAAAAATTTTAAAATTTTGCGATAAAGATAGTATAATGAGAGTATGATGAGAGGTATAAGTATAATGAGAGGCTTATTCTAATCACCCTTTTTGGTTAATCTCCCTCCTTTTGGTTAATCTTTTAATCTCCCTCCTATTCTAACCTCCTTTTTGGGTTAATCTCCCTTCTTGCTTAATTCATACCTCTATATAACAAAAAATATAAAATAATATTACATAATAAACTCCTCCCTTATGTGCATACAAATCAGAATAGGCTTTAAGTATAACTACAACAGGTCCATTTGCTTCAAGTTCTTTAATTATATTTTGTGTAGTAATACCATTCCCACCAAAAGCATCATATCTTGATACTGCAAAATTAATGTTATTTTTTAATTATTAAACTTTTTATTCATACTATGTCGTTTATCATTAAAATAATGAGTATTCCATGGTGCAGTGCATGAACTATCACATTGTGGCGAAGCAGCATTCCCGTATTGTGTAAAGGGATAAGGCTTGCATCCACCCTTATTTACATTATCACCTCCTGTGCACACTCCCTTACTTTTCAACCATAGCCAAACTTTATAAGCAGAGCCTGAAGCACAATCACCAGCATCGGAACAAGAAAGAATATCAAGCGCCGAAAATACATAGCTGCCATTATTGGGTGTAGATTGTTTCAATTTTGCCCTTGCAATACAAACACGATCTGTATAGACAGTAGAAGGGACTATAGCCCAGCAGCTGGCACATCGACCTTGATGATGAACTCGGTTAATAATTGGAGCGCAACCGGACCACTTTTCACTACAACTAAACACATTTTTCTGAACGCAAGTTGCTCTTTTTGCTCTTGGATGTTCATCCTTTTTGTTGCTTTTTTCTGGAGGATCTGGAGGAGACTCTCCACCAGGAACCCCTTCCCCATTGACGTCAGTATCCGGAATATCACTATCTGATATTCCACCTCCAAGAAGCAACATTTGCTCTTCTATGGGCAAAAAATGGTTTAATGTAAAGCCAACTTCTTTGCTTCCTTCAATATTTTTCTTAAATTTTTCCAATTCTTCTATTTTTGCTGTAATTTCTTGGACACTCAATTCAATTTTGTATAAATTTTTTATTCTGTCTACTATTTCTACAACCTCCTTAATTTGCGGTTGTGGTAAACGATTCCCAAACAGTATTCTAAGAAGAAATTCAAGTAGACCTCCAAGAAGCTGCGCGGAAGTTAATGAACCAAATGATGTAATAATTAGGAATATTAAAACAAAAAATAGGCTAGTCGTTATTTTCATATCTATAAAAATTCAATAATTAATACCGTAAATGCTCGAATAATTGCCCTGCGTAAATATTGTTCCTACCTTTCTGAGGATGGGGTAATTAATCGAGAGGAGGTGCTAAATTTGGTGTATATCACAATTGGTGTGCCGATTATCTATGAATTTGGTGTGCCTCTGTGGCCCGTATACCGTTCCGTTTAATTTGCCAAAAAACACATTTGCCCTATACAGTTTAGTTAAACGGTTTTGTTCAACCCGAATAATAATTATCACCCATATATTTTCACGATATTTTAATCATTGCCAAAATTATCTCTATGAATTATTACCCGTAATTATGGCGTTGAGGTAGATTAGGTTTTGATTAGGTCTCCTAACCCTCTTCGTTTTTTTAACCCAATATAAATTGATCATTAACAATTCTTAAGTTATGCTTAGTCTTTTGTGGAGCATTTAATATTTTAAAAATTAATTTTAGACGGGAAAATGTTTAGATTTTTATTTTAATAAATTTTTAAAATTTAAATTAAAATAGGTATATTATATTAACAAGGAAATGTCTGAAGTATATTTAAAATTGCTGATTTATTTCCTTATTTGTTTAAAATTAAGTTTATTAAATAATTGTTTCATTCTTTGTTATCCACGTAATAATTCAAAATTACGTGGAATTTTTGTAAAATATCATCATTCCCTTGAAAATTTATTTCTTTTATTTTTATAAAAAAATTATTTTTATTGTCTCCAACAATAGCCACATAATTTTAAATATATTTCCCTAATTAAAAAAAAGATTTTTCGTGTTGGATGATTTTATTAGCTCGAAATAAAGGAGGTAAAATATATGTACATAAATATATTAGTATTTTTTTACATTTTCGATACATATTATTCAACCAAACTTTGTTAAACAATATTCAAACATTTTAACAATATTCAAACATTTTAACAATATTCAAACATTTTTCAACACTTTGTTAAACAATATTTTAACTGTTATGTATAATGAAAAAATATTTTTAATTGTCCACATATACATACCAGGGGTGGGTTTAGTCTCGTATCTCGTGTCTCGTAATTTGCCACGAGACACGAGATATTTTCAATCTATTTTGGAAAAAATGTCAGAAATTTGGGACTATTTTGCGGCGCTAAAAGAAGCCTTACTTATACCAATTTTTCATCATGGAGTGGCTCAGAAAAACTTGGTATCCTTATCGGGTGTCCATATCTCCCGGTATCCCTACAATCCCAAGATGCTCCTTCAAATCCATTAATATCCCTTTATCCTCCGAAATCGCTAAAATCAGTTGACAACTCAATATTCCCATGGTATCTGTTTCTTTAACTCTCCTTGATCCTTCAAAATCCCATGATATTCTCCATAATCCCCGATATCTCAATAAATTCCCTTATTCACAAAATCCCCAGTATCCTTCATAATCCTCATGTAATCATTATACATTTAAACCCTTAACATCTCGTATTTTTTGAGAGATCTCGCATCTCGTGAATCTCGTTCTCGTATTTTGTGGGACTCGGCCCACCCCTGATACATACGTTTAGGATCGCCCCAGAATATCGACACCCTAAATATCACCACCCAAAATTGTTTCAGATTTTTTTATTTATTCTAACAATAAGCTATTTAAATGGCATCATTTATAAAGTCAAATAAGGGTTGCGAAAAATTAATTTACGGAGAATACATTTACACAAAGTATAAAGATGGAAAAGAAAATAAACGTCACTGGAGATGCGAGCTTTGGCGAAGCGATAAATGTCATGGAACTGCTACAACTGACAACAACAACACTGTCACTATTGGGCAACAACACAATCATGCCCCATCACCAACTCGAATTGAATTGGCTAGAATTAAAGACAATATCAATAAAGCTGCTATTAACTCCACACTTTCACCTAGGGCAGTTGTAAATTCGCAGTTAGTGGGAATCAGCGATAAAGTTAAGGTCTATATTTTTTACTAACTATGAAAACTGACAATTATTTAATGCAAGGCAAGTCTTCCGAAATTGAGAAACCTTGAAAAAACTGTTGGAAGAAAACGTTATGCGAATGGTAGTTATGCGAAACACCGCCCAAAATATCGAATCAGCGATATTTTGGGTGGTGATATTTTGGGTGGTGATATTTTGGGTGGTGATATTTAGGGATGTGATATTCTGGGTGGTGATATTGTGGGTGCGATATTCTGGGGTGAAGTCATACGTTTTTTAGAATTTTATTTTTTAGGGGGGGGGGTTAGTTTTAACTATTTTTTTGATTATTCATTAAGTTAGGCGAATTTTTTAAAATTCCTCTGAAAACCCTACTCCTATTTTTTCAATCCAAATAATTATCATTTAAAAATTCTCCGAAATATATAATTTTAAAAATAAATATATTTATTGATCATTTAATTTTTCTATTCTTATTTTTCATTTTATTTCTTTTTTTCGTTATTTAATTGCTTTTGTACAAGCCTTAAAAGGCGCAAAAACTTGATGGCGACACATTTACCACGTAAAAATAGATTAACGAATTTTTGTGTTAGAAAAACTTTATTTTTAATATGTACATGTGTTAATAATTTAATATTATTTTTCTTAACTATTTTTCGATTATTTATTATTAAATTTTTTTATTTCTTCTATTAACAAGCTATTATACTATCATTCGACTAATGTTCGAAAATTAAGTAAAACTTCAATTAAAACTTCCAAACTTTCCCATTTTAAGGATTAGAAGCTTTACTATTCTAAGGGTTTTACTAGAGTATTAACCAATACTCACGCTTTTCGGGTTAAAGTTTAGTCGAATACTGGTTTTATTTTGGAGGAATTTTTAAAATGAACCACTCATTTTAATAAATTTTCGATTTTCGGTTTTTACAATTTCATAAAAATTAATTATTGGCAAAAAATATCAAAATTCTTTGTTTTAAACCCGATCGTGCCCAACCCTTGTTTTTACTAACGATTGGTTTGAACCGAGATCTCCAACTAAAGTTTTGGATTTCGAGCTTGCTATTTTTCGAGATATTTACACTGATCTTGTTTGATCCTCTCAGTCATTTCTCTCTTTTTTTCTATAAAAATCTAAAATAATTATTTATAAACTTGAAGAAAATATATCAGAACATTGAAGAAATAACTTCAAATTTCTCCCTCATTTTTTTGTAAGAAAAATATATTAATTTTTGAAAATGGAATCCAGTAATCGCTATCAATTTGAATTTCATGAGGAGCATCAGGAACGACCACAAAAACATTTTTATCCTCGTCAGGATCCAAATGTCACGGCAACAACAATCGAAACAAAATATTATAGTCGAGAAATACCTCCAAGAATTTATTCAAGAAATGAGGATAATACAAGACGAAGATCTAGTATTTCTTATAATGAATATGATAAATACGAATCAGACACGCTTAATATGAAATATTGTATTGAACCTGCTGGAGTATTACGAATTATAGAAATTGTGGGTTTTTAATGAAACTACATAAAATGTTGATTAATGAATAGAGGCGAACCTTGATTAATACCGTATTACCTTTATTTGAATGCCCCCTCCAATTGAATGCCTCTTTGAAAGGTGATTGAAAAATAGAATGCCCGGGCATTCAATTAGAGCTAATACGGTATATACCTTGGGACTGAAAATATCATTTAAAAATAAAGAATATCCTAAATTTGAGGATCTCCAAGAGCGGAATTTTACAACGATCTGATTGTATAGGCTAACAACACGACGAAACAATTTTTGACCGACCCCGGTTATATCAGAGTGAACCATTTTGTTTTCGTCGATTTTTCATTTTTAATCCGTTTGACTCCAGAGTTTTAAGAGGATCTTCGAAACTTTTAAATAAATCTATTAATTTAATCTACTTCTTACTTAAACAGATCATTTGCCTAATCGTCGTTTGTCTACTTACAGTAGTTTATGGCCCAGGCCCCTTTAAGGGTATACTTTTTGGACAGACATTAATAATGTTATTTACTGGATTTGCACTTTGTCTAACTTTTTTAATTCTTTTGGCTTATTTTTTCAATTTACCTCAAACATATTTAAATTTTTGGCCGTGGACTGAATCTGTAAATAAATTTAATAAGAATATAGGTACTTATCGGTTATATGCCCACACTTCCTGCCGAATTTGATCGTCTTTAACTTTTGATGCTTGATCCAATTTAAAAAGATTTTCTATCATTCGAAAGCCCTCGATAAGAGCAATCTTTTTTTCAACTTAATGGATCAAGTCTGATCCCTCGTTAAAAAGTTATAACCCGATAAATATGAAAACCACCAAATAACTGAACTTATTGTGCTTTAACTTTTAAATGAGTGATCAGACTTGATCCATTAAGTTGGAAAAAAGATTGCTCTCATCGAGGGCTTTCGAATGATAGAAGATCTTTTTAAATTGGATCAAGCATTAAAAAGTTAAAGTCGATCAAATTCGGCTGGAACTCAGTTTGTGGGCGTATAACCGATAAGTACCAAAAAATATTTCTTAGAAAAATATTTTTCCAATTTTTTAGGATATATTATTGTCAGGAATTGCTTCAATTTTCTTTTTAATTTTTTCATGTTTAGAAGCATATTATTCAACAGGGGGTTGGGCTAATAATTGTAATGATATTGGAGGGGATGGAGTTATTCACAATGGATGCCGCCTAATTATTGAATGGGCATTTGCAGCGGTAAAAAGTTGAAGGAAATTTTTATAAATTTTTTTTATCACACAACTCTAATTCCTGTAGTGTAGTTTAGTAATATAAATAGTTGTTGAGCCTCTACATTTGTAGAATTCTTTCAAATTTTTACTCAAGTTTTCAATAGAAATCTATAGCTTTAAAATTTATAAAATTTTTCAAACATATGGGGGAAAACAGGATTTCATGTAGTTGCCAAAGCCAATGTTTTAAATTATCAAACCACACCAAAGACAAAAAATAGGCAATCGAGACAATAATTCGAGACATAAACTCATTTCGCAAAAATTCACTTTATTTCACAAAGTAAAATAGATTTTTGAAAAGCCTGGGCCTGTTCCTGGACTCTGGGTTTGATTTATTGACTTTGGCCGGATCCTGGGCTTGTAGTCCAAGAAAACTCAGGCCGAGGAAAAACCCAGGAAGGTCAAGAAATAGGCCTGGACCGAGGCCTGGACCTCTTGGATACAGAAAAAATCCTGACTTTTTTCCAAAAACCCCGATAAAGTCTAAAAATAAAATGTTTTACAGTAACCCTAATTTGTGAAAGAATAAAGACATTTGCCTAATCATTGCCTACTTATAAATTGCCTACTTATAAAACAAACTCTTTCATAATTTAAATACTTAATTTAATTATTTTTTTAAAGTTTTTCTGCTTTGTTTTGTTCGCCTTATATGCAGCAAGTGCATTCTTTGCTATCAGAGAACGTAAATATGAAATGAGAGAGAAACGTCGCTTGAGACAAAGAAATATTAATAATGATTTTGAGAATTAATTAATTTAAAAAATATTTTCTAATACTTTCATTTTTATTTTTAAATTTTATAATAAATTAGCGATTATAAGCCATAAATGTATGACAGATTAAAATACCCAAACAGGAGTTCTGGTCAGTGCTTCGAAATTTCAAATTTGCTCGTACTCGTACTCGTACTTCGTACCATCTCTTTTTTTGGCCTCGTACTCGTACTCGTACCTCGTACCACCCCTATTTTTGGCCTCGTACCTCGTACTCGTACCTCGTACTTACTCGTACTTGAGAAAAAAGCAAAAAATCGAAAATTTTTATGATTTTTCGGAGCCCAGGTCATCTAATTTAAAATTTTAAGCGTTGTATGTGATAATTTTTGAATTTTGAAAGGCTTTGAAGCTATAAATCCTCCAATTTCATCCATTTTCTGCGCCGCAGGCGAAATTTTTGAGTTTTTTGGAGTGCAAGGAGAAATATTTCCTCCATGATGGGTCGGGCTACCCATCTTCTTACATGGAACTTATCCTTTCCACCGAACTTTTCACATTTTAATTTCCTGATATCCCTTTTAATCTCAAATCCCTTTTTTCAAAAAATTTTGCGAATTTTGGATGTCCTTAAGTCAGATTTCTATTATTTTTTGCGCCGCAGGCGAAAATTTTGAAAAATTTTGAAGGCCATGAAGCCAGATTTCTTACATTTTTCACCGCCGGAAACGAAAATTTTAGAATTCGGAAGCCAATAAGCCAACTTTCTTATTTTTTCAGCGCCGCAGGCGAAAATTTTGAAAATTTCCGAAGGCCGTAGGTGAAAAAATTCACTTTTTAGTGTTCGAAATAAAAATATTTTAAGAATTTTAGAGGGTCAAAATCTCATAATTACTTCTGTAAAAATAGAATAATTTTTAAAACAAAATTAAAATTATAAAATAGGTTATTTATAAAAAAAATATTAAAATTATTTGGCCCGTGCATCGGAATCGGCCCCAATATTAAATCACTACAGACTTTGAATCAGCCAAGCAACTTCACCACTCGGCCACCCTCTCCTATGATAGCGAATGAAAGGAATTAAATATATTTCTTTCAATTTTCCTATTAACACCAAGTACGAGAAGTACGAGCTCGTACTTAGGCCTCGTACCTCGTACTTTTCACTTTTTTTGGCCTCGTACTCGTACTCGTACTTCGTACCTGCTCCAATTTTTTGCTCGTACTCGTACTCGTACTTCGTACCAGGTACGAGTACGAGTACGAGGTACGAGTACGAATTTTGGTACGAGCTTCGAAGCACTGGTTCTGGTTGAATTATAAGTTCTGAATGCTTTTCATTTCTTGACTAAAATTAGGATAATTAAAGGCCCTTTAGGGTTGTTGGATAAAATGGTCATTCCTCCATCATTTAATCCCCATTCTTCAACTTATTCGGGAAATAAATATTAAATATCAATTTTCTTATTGTTTTTGTGTCTGCTGTCCTTTCAAGCGAGTTACCATTTAAATTTTTCGAGTTTTAGGATAAATTTTGAGAGGAAATTGTGATAATATTATGTATTAATTTTATTCTTAAATTTAAAAATAATAAAGTATAATTAACAAATTAAATATCTATTTACTATCTATATTTTCATCCTCTAATCCTCTTAAAATTTAAGGGCAAAATTTAATATTATAATTAACTTTCCCTCCATTTGTGCAAACAAATGTTGCTTTATCGTCATCATAAGGGTAAAGATATTGTTGAGGGCATTCTTTATTTTCTGTTTTATAAACATCATAATTGTTAAAGACTGGATGGCAAGTTTCGGGTTTATTCCATTGTTGGGTACAACAATATTTTGGATCTTTAAAAGCTGCACAAGGGCTGAGGATTCCAATTATTGTCTATAGAATTAAATTAAAATTTTAATTTAGTTTATTTTTGGCCTAGTTTAAAGAACTTTTTGTTTAGAAGCTAGAATCAGGGCTGGCGAAATTGAAAATAATTTTCCGCAGCCGCAATCCGTAAGTCAAAAAAAGGCAATTTTACGTAATCCGCAATTGTGCCCTGGCTAGAAGTTTTAATAGACTACAATAAATATTAAAATATTTAGCCCCGTTGGGAATCCAACCTGCAACCTCCTGCCTTCTATCGCTATGAATTTCCTACTAAATACTAGCCGGGCAGATCAGCAAGCAACTTATAAAGCAAGCAACTCTTTAATATCTTTGGCTTACCCCTTTATTATCCTTTTTGACCATTTGTGCTGGCAATTTAGAAGCAACTTTTCTAAGATCACATGCATTGATTTTTTTACATTTTGGTCCATTTCCTCCAATTGGCACAATTTCCACAGGTATATTGAAACCATCAACTAAGCTAACATCGTAGAAATCGCCGGCATTAGTACCAAAAGTGAATTCTGCCAATGACATTGGTGGTTCCCCTCCAGTGCCTTTACATTCAATGCCACGCTAAAGAGTTTGATTATTGAGGCTGTTAACCCATAATTTTTATTTTTTAATAAAACACAAACTCCTCTGCAAATTCCAGTTGTACAACTAGTTGCATCCTTATTACACCCTGTCCTTGCCCAAATTCTCAATGCTGACAATTTTGGATTAACCGTGAATGAAACACTTTGTCCCTTATTTAACGCCCCGCTTCCTCCATTTTTGGGCACAGTTTGTCCGGCGCCAACTTGGTATGCTGGCCAAATAGGATAAGGACAGTTGTTGATGACTGTAAGCTTTGGATCACCTAAAATTTGACCCTTATATTATAACCATACTAATCTCCTTTTTAATTTTGAGGATGAATTTTAGTTGGGTTGAATTTCGTTCTGATTGGGGGATTGATGATTTGGGGATGATTTGGGGATTTATGTAAAAATACTTTCCCCTTTCTTAGGGAAAACTATTTCACCTTCCTATTCTTTAATAGGGAATTAAAATATCTTAAATTAATTATTCCCTCGGAATAATTAACTAGATAAAACAAATTAAATAAATAAACACAAACACAACTAAAATTCTTTATCTTCAAACAAAATAAATATTCACACAGAATATTAAAAAAAATGAATATCTCAAAAGACATTGAAAAGTGAAATTTCTGCCTACTTTTTATAGGCAAAAATTTCTATATAAAAATGATGCAATGTTAAGTACATTGCAAAAAAGTACATAAAAAATTGTCAAAAATGGAAAGTGACTCACTGAGTCACCTCCAAAAATAATAAACAAAATAAAAAATATCAAAAATATTTCAAATCTTTAATTCTTCAATTTCGTCATCGACACTCCCCGCACAGAAATCCTCTCATCTCTCCATATTCTCAGTAGTTGCATTGAAGAAGAGAGTTGCACATTGATGCGACATATTGGCAAGTTCGTGTGATGATAATTGAAGAGCGCTTGAGTTTGTAGAAGAATTTGTTTTTAGCAATGACTTTGGTGAGGTGCTCTTGTCATTGCCTTTAATTGGACAATTATTTGTTGTATGTCCGAATGTGTGATGAGAAGAATACTTTTTCTTTTTGTGTCGCATTGAAGTTTTATTAATTAATTCTTTTACTTGTTGAGTCTTTATTGTTGGAGCAGAAGCAGTAGTTGAAATTAGAGATGAGGGGAAGTCCTGCGAGATAGTCCGAATGACCTGAAATTGCTTGATATGGTTTCTTTTTCTCTTTTCAACGGGAGATCTTTCCTCCTTTTTGCTATTCAGAATTGTCTCTCCTCGAAAACCTGGACAATCTATTTCATTTTCTCTAATTTCTTTTATCTGTACTTTATTCTTTTCAGGTATAGCCACACAGGCTTCTATCATTATATTAACATAATTATAGTTAATTAAATTTCTTTCAGTTTCTAATCTTTCTACACATGAAGAATGTGTACCTCCCGCCAACATTGTAATTATAAGTGCTGACGCGGCGAGTTTGTATCCGCGAAACAATGGATTATATTTAAAAAATAACTTTAACGCAATAGTTATCAATACAGACGATAAAATAATCATAAATATCATTTGTATACTAATCAATTCAAAGAGTATGTTTTTCCAATCAAGAAATTGCAAACTTGCAAATGGATTCGTCAACCAATTGTTTTCACTATTTTCTATGAATATTTTAGATGATCCTTCTTTTACTATAACCTTTGCCTTTTCTGGTAAAATAAATTCTAATTGTCCTTTTAATGTGAAATTTGTAATTCCTCCCGAACAATAGACATTACAAATCTCATTTATCTCCGAATGATCAAACGAAAGTGCAATTTTTTGATCAATCCCTTTTTCATTACATTTCGCTGTAAAGATATTGCCTCCGGGGCATTTTATCTCAGCGTAAGCCGATCCATATTCGGCGGAACAATTAAATTTAAAAACAGCTCCCATACAGCTGTAACATCCTCTTAAATATTCAGGATTTATTTTACAAATTGTAATATCGATATTGCTAGAAATTAGCCAATCTTCAAACCTTATCATTAACATGATTGGTAAATAGTTAGATTCACTAATAATCATGTTTTCCTTTTTTCTTAATCTTATACGATTTATCTCCAATGGTAATGATTTGCGTGGGTCTTTTATTAATTTTTCAATAATAAAGTCCGAACATGCGCATTGTATTTTCTCAATATCTTGTTCTAACCAGCATTCTTTACATGCATTAATTTCTAATTCACATTTTGAAAAATTTCCAGCATTTTCATAGCACTCTAGATAAGAATTACTATTTTCTGAAATTACAATTCCTCCCTCTCCAATGATAAATTCACTGTTTAAAACTGATGCCATTGGAGGTGTAACATCTAATAATGTAAATTTTATATCTTTCCATTTAAAAGTCATTCCTGGATTTAGCGTAAATCTCTTTTTTGTCATATTTCCATTCAAAACAAGTCCTATGTCTACTTCAATACTATAATCCCAAGTAGGACAGGACACAAGTTTGAAAATCTCATCTGACTTTGGGATGGCATATACTCTATAAAAATAGCAGTCTGCTCCAGGCAGTGAACAGCCATATCCCCAAAGTGATTTTCCTTCAATACAAAACGAATTACCAGGATAATCATTCCATTCTGATAATTCTTCAACATAATCTTTAGTTCTAATGTGATTGCATCTTCCAGCTTTACATGTTCCCGCGGCTGGGCATCTTTTGATTGACTGAACTTTTACCTCATATGATCTCAAATATCTAAGTATTTTCTGATTGCATTGGATTTGTAATCCATGCATTGACAATTCTAGCTCTCCCATTATTATTCCTTTATTATTCTTTAACGAGAGCGAATTTATTTGCTCATTTGGCAAAAAAGTCACAGTATTTACGGCGTTCATTTTGCAAGTAGAAATACCTGCTTTTCTTAGACAATCTTCAGATTTAGCTTGAATAACTACAACTTCAACTTCTCCATTAATTAATTGAATAAAATTTAAATAAATAGCCAATAATGCCATTAAACGTAATTTATTCAATCTTCTGTTTCTTTTTAATGTTTTATTATTTTTAACTTTACTTCTATTATTCAATAATAATTTTTTAGTTATATCTTTTTGTCTATTTTTCTTTTGTGCAAAAAATATTTCCATCGGCATTTTAACAATATTCCAAATTATTCTTAATAATTTTCCGAAAATTAACAAGAGTTTACAGGCAAATATTGCTATAGAGAGAATAATAGTCAAAATAAATCCCGTTACAATACCAATCAGTAGTAAGCTTTCTAATGATTCACATTGTGGGTTGACTATTCTTTCACGTAAGCCTGATATTCTTATACATGGATCAACTGCTGGACATGAAATCCAGTCTCTGTACATGTATCTTTTGCCCCAATAAGTGGCTCGGCATTTATAATCCAATGCTGTTTTATCTTTTGGAATTTTAAATGCTAATCTTGACAAACCATTTATTTCTAAAAGGCAGCTTCCTGCACAACACAATTCAATTTTATTTATATAGTCAACTGCGTTAGCTTCAACGCCGAAAGTTCTACATTTCATAAAACATCCTTTACAATTTATATATCTTGGTGGTTCAGCAAATGCAATTGCAACCATATATATTAATTGTACAAATTGTAGGCACAAAGCCACTTTTGATCTTGTAACCATCGGATGCGTATTTTTATTTTTAGTCACCAATTTTTCAGTCTCTTTTTTACTCAAATCTACTTCATTTTCTTTTTCATTCTCATTATTTAAATTTTCTTCTACTATATTCTCATCTTCAATCTCCAAAGGAGAGATTTTATTAATCGGGCGTATAAAAGTTTTATCTCCAATTTTTATCTTTGCGCTTCTAGCTGGAGTTCCATCCAACTCCACTATTTTTCCTAAAGGCCAGACATTGCGAGGTTGTCCTTCTTGATGCATAATAACAACTTCGCCAATTCTTGGATTTCTTTTTAAATCATTTCTTTGATTGTGATGAGTCCACTTCGACTTATCTCTCAACATTATGAGATAATCACGCTTCCAGGTATCCCAAAACCTCTGAAGCGTTTTTAAAGTGGCCATCCATCTTTCTTGAACTTGTTCGGCCGTGCTCATTTTTCCTAGCCGAAAATTATCGTCTTCAATTTCTGGAAATTTTTGAATAATTTCCACTCTTGGTATTATAAAATCAATTGGCCTCAAGCATAATGGGCCGTCTTTTTCTAAAGATATATAAGAAATAGGTCTACAATTTATAGACATTTCTACCTCCTTTATAAATGTTCTTAACTCTTCTATATTTAATATTCGACTTCCCAAAGATCTTTTAAATGAATCTTTAACTAATTTTACTAATCGCTCATAAACGCCACCCTGCCATGGAGACAAAGCAGGTATGAATTTCCATTCAATCTCTTTTTCTAATAAAAAATTATTAAATAACTTTTCATCATTATTTGCTTTTTCTTTCTTCCATTTACCTTCAATATTGGCATTTATTACTTTTGCAACCGTTATAAACTGATTGCCATTGTCCGAAATTATTTTCAATGGTGCGCCTCTTTGCGCTACAAATCTTCTTAAAATATCCAAGAATGAAAATGCAGATAGATCTGTAATTATGTCTAAATGGATTCCTCTTGTTGATAAACATGTAAAGAGCGCAATCCAAAACCTGACTTTTCCTCCTTCTATTTTGCACATAGAAGGTCCGAGATAATCCACTCCAACAAATTCAAATGGACGTGATTGTCTTACTCTTTCTTTAGGCAATATAGGCATATCCGGCAGTGCAAATTTAGGCGAACTAATTCTTTGGCACTTTTTGCACTCTTTTATAACAATTTTAGTTATGCGCCTTGCACATGGCGTCCAAAATTTCATTAAAAAGTTTGCAACTGTTGAGTCAACTCCCGAGTGACTCAATTCTTCATGCATTTTTCTCAATAAAAGTTTTATAGCAAAACATCCCTTAGGTAATAAAATCGGATGTTTAAAATAATCTTCTGCTTCACAATTAATTATTCTTGTTTTTAATCTTATTAATCCATTCTCATCAATTATTGTCTGTAAATTATCGTTCTTTTCGTTTTTGTAAGAACTTTGTGCAATTTTTAAAACAAAAATTTCAACTTTTTTGAAATTATTTGCCGACATACGATTTTTCAAATTTATTTCACTAAGAAATTTTTCTTTTACAATTTTTCTGCTCTTTTCTATCCAAATCCGAGCAGCTATTGTTACAAACATTAAACATTTAATTAATTTATTCCATGAGTTCCAATTATTAAAATTTATTAAATTATCTTCTTCATCTATCTTTTTATTTAAACAACTTAATATTAATTCCTGATTATCTTCTTCGCAAGTATCTTCTTTTTCAATTTCAAAATTCAATTCATTTGGCCAATTATTTTCAGGCCTTTTTAACCAATCAGGACCTTCCCACCAAATATGGCATTTTTCTAATTCAGATGCCATTATACCGCGAGTGGCTATATCTGCTGGATTATCAATCGTATTAACATATCCAAATTTAATTCCATTATTTTTTCTTATTTCATTTATTCTATTTTCTATAAATTTTTCATTTTTGCCTCCTGCCTTTATCCAGCTTAATACCGGCTTTGAATCACACCATAAAAATTTATCTTTAATTTCAACTCCGATTTGTTTCTCTACAAATTCTAAAGCTCTTTTAGCAATAACCACGCCTAAAAGTTCCATGCGTGGTATTGTTACTTCTGATTTTCTAGGTTTCAAACGATTTCGTGCATATAATATCTGTGTATGAATTTTTCCTTCAAATTCCGATTTTATGTATATGCAAGCAGCATAAGCACATTTAGATGCATCAGAAAATGCATGCAATTGTTTTACACTTTTAATATCAGTCACTCTTCTATTAATCTCGATGGGATCTAGTGTCCATGACCTAGTGATTTCTATCCATTTCATTGCATTTTCCTTACTAATTTTATCATCCCACTTATTCTCTTTAGTCCATAATGACTGAAAGAATAATTTTGCAGATAAAAGACTAGGTGAAGCAAGTCCTAATGGATCAAACATGCTTGCTAATTCACGAAGAACTATTCTTCTAGTCACGCTTTCAGCCGAATTCACTATTGGAAATACAATATTTATCTTATCTGAAGATATTTCCCATGGTATTCCCAAAATTTTAGGCTTATTCTTCTCCAGCCTATCTTCGAGTGGGAAACTTTCATTAAGCTCCACATTATTACTGATGAATTCTCTTAAATTCATTTGAGCATCTCTAAATATCTCTTTTAATCTTTTATAAGCGAGCCAAGCTTCATTGGCCGATTCTACTCCAATAAATATATTATCCACATAGGAATTTTCTTTAGCAATCTTTGCAACAGGGTCATCACACTTCTCTAAATGATGTCTGACAGTCGCTGATAACAAAAATGGACTCGAGATTACCCCAAAGGGAACTTTTGCAAATCTTAGATATTGAATATTCTGGGTTGATATGGGTTTCTTCGTATCTTTTACCCATATAAACTTAGTCACTTCTCTATCTTCTTCTTCCAATTCTAATGTATGGAATGCCTTTTCAATATCAGCCCACATGGCAATTTTTGGCACTCTAAATCGAATTAATAATCCTGCTAAATCCGGCATAATTATTGGCCCTCGATATAAACATTCATTTAAGCTTTTTCCTTCTCGCATTCTTGCGGAAGCATCATAAACTATGCGCACCTTTTTTGTATTAATAACAGGGTGGTGGGGCAGAAAATGTTCTATTTCCCCTTTCTTCTTTTCAGCCTTTTCAATCACACCTCTTTTCAAATCATTATTAATTATTTCCTCGTATTTATCTAATAAATCTGGATTTTTCTTTAATTTATCCATGAGATTTAGAAATCTTTTATATGCCAATGAAAAATTAGATGGCAAATTGTCTTTCTCAATTTTCCATGGCCATTTTACTATATAACTTCCATTTTCATTTCTTTTAATCGTACTATTAAATAAATCTAAAGCAACTTTATCATCTTTACACACAGGATCATCTTTGACTCCTATTGTCTCTAATGACCAATAATTGTTAAGTTCCTCATTTTCCAAAGTGTTAGAACTTAATATAGTACACAAATTTTCCTTTTTATTTAATCTTTTAAATTTTTCACCGCTAATTTCGCCACAAATTATTGGCCCTACAGTCGTTTCAACTTTAAATAGATAGTCCGATAATGGTTCTATTCTTTTAAAGAACCTCCAGAAATGCTTCATACCTATAAGCATATCAGGGACTATATTTGCGCAAGCAATCTCATTTGTTCTTAAGTCTGCGCATCTAAATCTTGGCATCAAATTCTTATTAATACTATAAACTATTATTTCTTCAAAATTTCCATTATCAAGAAGAACCTTTAAAGAATAACACGAAGTTTTTAGCTTTATTGGCTCTTTTCTGAAAAATGGGACAACTCCTAATTCTGTTCTTTTTAATTTTTTCAATTTTAATTTTTCAACAAGTTCATTACATAAGAAATTAACTGTTGCTCCTGAATCAAAGAAGCATTTTGCATTTATTTTATTATTTCTCTCTTTTAACATTAAATCTGCTTTCATCAAAACAATATTATCTTCGCCGTTATCATCAATATTAAGCATATTTTCACTTATTTGATTAACGCTTTCATTTTCCTTAATCTGTCCTTTCTTTTCTTTTTCAACTTCTTTAGGACAGATTATTTTATTGTGGTCTCCTTTACATATACCACAACTATATTTCACATTACAATCTATTTTGGCATGGCCTTTCCTTAAACAAATCAAACATCTATTTTGTTCAGACAGAATGCTCATTCTCTGTCCAATAAATCTGACTTGCTTACAATTTCCAGCTAAGTGTGGACCATTGCAAAACAAACATGAAATTTCTCTTTTTTGGTTCTTTGGCGCTGTAAATACACGCGCAGGTTCCGGTTTTCTCTGATTATTTGTGTTTCCATTAAATCTCCTTTGATTAAGATTCGGCACATTTTGCCAACTATTTTTATATGCCAATGACCTCGTGCATCTTTGTGCCTCTTCTCTTAAGGCCACAATTTCTGCAAGTCCTTCTCTTAATCTTCCTACACTCCAATTTACTTTCTCCAATTTTTCCATTTTTAATAATTCTAGAACAATACTTCTTGGCAATTTATTCTTAATTGCCATCATAACTATAGATTCATCTTCTAATTGCCCCATAGCAGTCAATGATCTACAAATTCGTTCAACCTCCTCGAGATATGAACGTAAAGACCATATTGATTCGTTAGCCACTGGCAAGCTAATTAGTTCGGCATGCAGTGTATCTCTAATTGCCTTTTCATTTCCGAATTGTCTTATAAGAGCATCTTTCAAAGGCGCATAATGTTCTGATATTGGCCTATAACCCAAAATTGCCCTTTTTGCCTTACCTCTAAGACATTGTATCAAATAGTGGGCCTTTAGCCCGTTATCAATATTCAAACAATCCACCGTTCTCTCAAAAGCCTGCCAAAATTCAGGCCAACGTAGAGTATCTCCATAAAATTCTGGCAGTCTAGTCCGCGGAAGATGAGGTGGAAGCACCTGCTCACTTCTAACTGGGACTTGCTCTACATTTATATTTCTGCGGACTTCATTTGTCCGATTTAAGCCAACTCCTATTTCCTCTGAGATCTCTGACTGCGTACTACGAGCATCAGAACCTTCAGCAAGAACAATTTCTATGTCATCGATAGCCTCTCTTCCTGAGTCTATCCATTCTAAAAAATGCCGTTCCTCTATGGCATATCTAGCAAAAACACCTTCTTCGGCAACTCTTTCATTTGCCGGTAAATCTTTAATATATTTTTCCCATTTTTCAACTTTTTCTTCCACGAAATTAATTGCCCTACGGATTTTAACTGCCATTCTTTGGAGTAACTCTACTCCTTCTTCAGTGCGTTCAGTGGCATCTATGATAGGTCTTACCTCTTCAAGGTATTTTTTCAATCGTACTATGGATGGCGCAATAGTACTTCTAATCGTTCCTGACATCTTTTAATTTATTTTATTCCAATATTTCCCAATTAATCTCTTTTTTAAATCCTTTTTTACCGAGCTTTCCAAATCTCAGCTCTTCCAATAATATTTTTTTACTGAGCCTTTCCTTTTCACGGCTCTTCCAATAAATCAATTGAGCCTATAGCTCTTCAATTTATTCTTCTAACTTTTTCTTTAATAACCCGCCGTTGGGTCGTGGCACCAAATGTAAAAATACTTTCCCCTTTCTTAGGGAAAACTATTTCACCTTCCTATTCTTTAATAGGGAATTAAAATATCTTAAATTAATTATTCCCTCGGAATAATTAACTAGATAAAACAAATTAAATAAATAAACACAAACACAACTAAAATTCTTTATCTTCAAACAAAATAAATATTCACACAGAATATTAAAAAAAATGAATATCTCAAAAGACATTGAAAAGTGAAATTTCTGCCTACTTTTTATAGGCAAAAATTTCTATATAAAAATGATGCAATGTTAAGTACATTGCAAAAAAGTACATAAAAAATTGTCAAAAATGGAAAGTGACTCACTGAGTCACCTCCAAAAATAATAAACAAAATAAAAAATATCAAAAATATTTCAAATCTTTAATTCTTCAATTTCGTCATCGACAATTTATCCAAAAAGTGCAAGCTTTATATTTTACCCTCTTTTATTAATATGATTTTTGGGGTGCTGTAGGAATGAAAATGTCGTAAAAATGAGGAGGTACATTATGGGTTGATTTAAGATCGAGAACATTTGTTTGATAGTTTACATATTCAACAAACCTTTTATACAAATAATGTAGCTTAACAAAATTACAAATATGGTTGAAGACCTAATCATAATTTAATTTTTCCTTTATACTTAAATGGCAAAATTATCTTAATTCACATTTAAAAAACAATATATAAAATTTGATCCTAAAATTTTTATCTAAGATCTTTATTTTAGGGTAGCACTCCGAGCCTTTAGAGTCGGAGTGTTGGGGATCGTGGTTTGCGGAGATAGAGACTTCTGGGTTTGGGTCGGCGTTTTTGCCAAAAAATCGTCGGGACTTGGGTCTTGTTTTCTGGAGCGGAGAGCTAAATCCAAGATCTATTAAAACTAAAAAGATGAACAGTTTTAGAGTTTTTAAGCTAACCTAAACTTAAGACAATAAATAAATTGCTAGGTAAGCTGTATAAAGGAATTTATTTGGATATTTTTACTAATATTTTTTGATTAATGGATGATTTAAAAGGATTTAGTTAAAACTTTTATACTCAGTATTATCTGTTGATTTTTAAAAAAGTTTGTCTGGTAAACATTTTTGAATTTTATAAAAAATATTTGTTCAAATGTAGCTTTTCACTTAATTTTTAATGTGAGAAAGTGCATAATTAAAAACGAAATATTTATTATATACTTGGATATTTTTAAAAAATAAAAACAAAATTTTAAATATTCGACTATCACAGACTGCACTTTTTAATTATTTAAAATTTTTATAATTTAATTTAACTTATGCTTTTACTGAAATCGTAAATAAACGAAAAATGGACTGAAAATTTTTTAAAAATAATTCATAATTCATTCCATTGCTGCTGAAATTAAAAAGAAAAGTCGCGTTGATATAAGTGAATCTTAGAAATGAAATAGAAAGAGTGGTAACAGAAGGCTTGGTAATGGATACGTATGTGGATACCGTTAAGTCTAAATAAAATGCCTGAGGATATCCGTCTGTACCCGCCAAAATCCATGTCCATTACCAAGTCTGGGAAGTAGTCTCGGAGGTCACTATAGGACATGAAACTTGAAAAGTTAGAAAGAAGACATTTTTGGAAGGATAAATGTTCAGACTGTTATTTCTACAGCTCTATCTTAAATTACCTAACTTGAAAATTTTTACGATAAATGCGTGACGTCTTGAAGGATCATCAATAATATAGCAATAATATAGTATTAACTCTATGTTATTAATGATTTAGTTTAAATTATTTAAATTTTATTGATACTGATTAAATGACCTAGCTAATCTCAATTTATATATGATCCATTTAAAAGAAATAACAAGCAATTTACGTGTCTAAACAAATAACAACAAACAAATTCTATACATTTTTATTCCCTCTAAACAGAATTTTAAGAATTTAGTTTTTGTATTTTGTTTTGAAATATTTACATTTATTTATTCAAAAATATTGTAAAGCATATAGCTGTTTATTTCCTAAGGCTGAGCAGTAGGCGGCGTGGTGTAATGGCTAACACATCAGTCCGGTCTACTGAAGATGCTGGTTCGCTCCCAGCCGCCGAATAACCTTTTGCACTAGCTAAAGGAGAGAAATAGCTATAGCCCAGCTGCTTTACTATATGTATGTATGTGACTAATTTTTAAACCAAAATTTATTTGTAAAAGTTAAGCCTGATAAATCATAAAGATTAATTTATTCAATTTGTAAATAAAAATAGTACTCTAAATATAAGTTTATTAAAATATTTATTTTATCACTTTAACAGATTTTAAATTTCTCTTCGATTTAAATTTTTAATCCTTTCATTTTTTATTATTTAGTTTTCAGTAAATTTATATTAAAAATGTATATTTTTGTAATCAGTAAATATCCTTGGTGCAACTCTGCCTCCTCCATTTTCAAAAAAATCAGTTGATTTGGAATAGGTACATGAATCAATCTGCTCATGATCTTCATGATCATGATACAGATCAAAACTTAATTCAATGGGAATGAAATATTTCCCATTTAGCTGGTATGAAAAGAACCGAACTGTCTGGGAAATCTTTATAATTTACTCACATTTGATGCAGAATTACTATAAACTTTTAGCCATATAAAAATGAAGGACGGTATGAGAGAAATATGAGAACTAAAAGGGAACTGCTACAAACATAGGACTTTAAAGATTTTTCTAATTAATATTTTCTTCTAATTTAAAAAATTTTTTTTTCCAAATTTTTCTAATTTAAAATTGTATTAACGAGAATCTCAATCAGTTTACATTGTTATCGAATATTAATTTTAGTACATTATGTTGTAACCAGTGCTTCGAAGCTCGTACCAAAATTCGTTTTAATTATTCTCAAGTACGAGTAAGTACGAGGCCTAAAATAAGGGTAGTACGAGATTCGAGTACGAGCAAAAAATAGGGATGGTACGAGGTACGAGTACGAGCAAAATCGAAATTTTGAAGCACTGGTTGTAACTCTGTAAACACTTTTTCTACAGTCTTCTAGATGCCTTCGTATTTCTTCCATTATATCGCCATAATTAGCTATTGTAAAGGTATATTCATTTAATTTTGTCCATCTCTAGGTTGTCCAATGATTTTTTGATTGAAATGCATTAATTATTACAGTAGTTAGTAATACCATGAAGGATTTATTAGAGCATTTACGGTAACGTAATATAATTATTTATAATATTATAGAAATTATACTTTAACTATATAAAAAATTTTGCCTTAACTAAAAGGCAAAAAAATTTTCCTTGTGAGAAAGACGAATAAATGCAAAAAATAAAAATACAAAAAATTTTTAAGAATATTTTGCTAACACAAATTATGTAAAAAAACGTTTCATCCACATATTAAAAACTTTTACACTTTTTAAAATAAATATAGCATGAAAATAAAAAGCAATAAAGTAAAAAATTAAATGAAAAAAAGGTTAAAGATTTAAAGATGGAATTGAAAAAAGAAAAAAAAATTTATAAAAAATTTATATGAAAAAGAGAAAAAAACCCTAACTAAAAATGCCACATAAATTTACAGCAAGTATATTTTTAATAGTTAAAAAAGACGATAGATCAAAGGATTATGAAAAACATGAATATAAAACCATCGGCAAAAAACGAGAAGAAGCATCTATTTAACTTCACAACATCAAAAAAGCGTGTTGAATAAAAGAGTAAGATGAGAGCAATAATTCTACTTCAAGTTCTTTTCTCATTAATAAATTCAATTACCGGGCAAACGTGCGAACCGCCGACAACGCCCCCTGTCTGCTACTGTCAATGTGGATCGACAACAGGAGTGACTACATCTGCTCAAACGACAACGGTTGGACCGACAGGAACAACAACAACTGGCCCGTCTACTGAAGCTGGCTCAACCTCTCCTGGAGGAGTGAGCGGAGCACCAACAGCAACCCCACCAGCAACTGAATCATCGTCGGCATCTCCTGGTTCATCTACCTCTGCTGAAGCTGGCTCAACCTCTCCTGGAGGAGTGAGTGGAGCACCAACAGCAACCCCACCAGCAACTGAATCATCGTCGGCATCTCCTGGTTCGTCTACCTCTGCCGAAGCTGGCTCAACCTCTCCTGGAGGAGTGAGTGGAGCACCAACAGCAACCCCACCAGCAACTGAATCATCGTCGGCATCTCCTGGTTCATCTACCTCTGCTGAAGCTGGCTCAACCTCTCCTGGAGGAGTAAGCGGAGCACCAACAGCAACCCCTCCAGCAACTGAATCATCGTCGGCATCGCCTGGTTCGTCTACATCTGCCGAAGCTGGCTCAACCTCTCCTGGGGGAGTGAGCGGAGCACCAACAGCAACCCCACCAGCAACTGAATCGTCGTCGGCATCTGCTGGTTCATCTACCTCTGCCGAAGCTGGCTCAACCTCTCCTGGAGGAGTGAGTGGAGCACCAACAGCAACCCCACCAGCAACTGAATCATCGTCGGCATCTCCTGGTTCATCTACCTCTGCTGAAGCTGGCTCAACCTCTCCTGGAGGAGTAAGCGGAGCACCAACAGCAACCCCACCAGCAACTGAATCATCAACAGCATCTGCTGGTTCGTCTACTCCAGCTGAAGCTAGCTCAACATCTCCTGGAGGAGTGAGCGGAGCACCAACAGCAACCCCACCAGCAACTGAATCGTCGTCGGCATCTGCTGGTTCGTCTACTCCAGCTGAAGCTAGCTCAACCTCTCCTGGAGGAGTGAGCGGAGCACCAACAGCAACCCCACCAGCAACTGAATCATCATCTGGCTCGTCAACCTCATCTGGAGGCCCAACTGGCTCACCAACAGCAACCCCAGCATCAACAGAAACGACAGCATCCCCTAGCTCGTCAACCTCCTCTAAAGCAACGACACCAATTACATCTCGTAAAACCACTCCACAGAAACGTAAAATTGCCTAAATTATTTAGAAATACTCATTTCCTTTTTCTTTAAAGGATGCTGCAATTACTTGAGATGTGAGGATTGTAACTATAACCAAAAATGTACTGGAGGTTACCCCAATCCATGTGTTGATATTTATTAAAAAATGATTATAAGAAATAATTAAATGTTGTGTAGTTTATACATAATAATTTTTATTTAATTGTAGTTGTAGTTTGGATAAAATTTTGGATTAAAAAATTTTTATTTAAATTTTTTATTGTCGATTATTACAAAATTAATATTTTAATTGATTATTAATCGTGGTAAATAATTGAAAATAATTTTTTAAAAATTATTTTTAGCTAAGTAAACACAATCCTCATAGCGATGAGACGCGATTTTGTCTCTCCTTCTTATAACATGAGACATGAGAAAAAGAGACATACTACAATGAAGAATTCAACGATCAGAAGACTCGAGAAAGACGAGAAAAATTAAAAGTAAAACGTTAAAGTCATCCCCTCTCGAAGAAGAATTCTTAAGATTAAGCTTTTTCCAATGAAGAATATGAATTCAACTAATGAATTCAATATTTAATAAATTAATCTCAATGTATCAGACCCTCTCTCAAATAATTAATTCCCCATCTCGTTTATTACCCCTTCTAGCCAAGTTTACTTAATAATTTCCCTGGGTAATTATTTAAGCATATATGGTACCTACTTATGGAAATTCAATCCTCCCTCCACCGGTCCCCTACTAAAGGTTTCCTTTAAAAAAAAATTTTTTTCCCTTTCAATTCCGCTATATCGAGCTCGTTTGTATAAAATTGATTAGATATTAAATTATAATCTTTTATTTTAAAATTTTAATTAAAAAAAAATTTTGAAATAATCTTCTCTTTCCTTTAACACCTAAATAAACAAATTTTTATATTAAATCTTTGCGTATTTATAAATAAAAACCTTCAAATTAATTAATATTTCGGCCTAACTACAGTTTCCGTACCAGGCTCAGAATTGGACGATTTATATGTCATTCGAAAGAGCTCGTCGAGCTGAGTCGAACGACACCAAAATTATTCAGCGGAAAAAATTCTGAGCCGAGTTACAGGCCCCCGAAAATCGAAAAACCATAGGGGGGACCAAGCTGATTTTTGGGGTGAAAAATTTGAATATGCAATTAATAGCTCATTTGAAAGAGCTCTTCAAGCCGAGTCGAATGACACCAAAATCGCCGTGATTGGTCAAGTTTGTTCAAAGTTATGACAAAAAAACTAACAACGTAAACCTATGGGGCGACGGCGAGGCGCTTGTGCAAAACTCCGCGCTTCGCGCGGAGTTTTGCGGCACGCGCCTCGCGGGGAGTCTACGGGCTCTGGGTCTGGGCTTGTAACTTAATCCTATTCCAATTATCGCTGTGATGGGCATGCCAGCTTCCTTCGCAGCAGCAAGAACATCCACGGAGAACAAAGGTAAGGAGCTAAAACAAACGAGCATTACTTTGTCAAATCAATTCTGATTTCATTGATTTTGGTGTCATTCGACTCAGCTCGATGAGCTCTTTCGAATGAGGTATAATTTGCATATTCGAATTTTTCACCTCCAGAAAACAGCTTGGTCCCCCCTATGGTTTTTTGAACTTTAGTGGTCTGTAACTCGGCTCAGAATTTTTTCCGCTGAAAAATTTTGGTGTCATTCGACTCAGCTCGACGAGCTCTTTCGAATGACATATAAATCGTTCAATTCTGAGCCTGGTACGGAAACTGTAGTTTAGCCAATATTTCAATTAAACATTAAAAATTAATTTTAAAATTTATTAAAATATCCTCAAAATGATCCAAGTTAAAAATTCCATTAGCTTTTTAATGCCTTTAATGGTGTTTGCTATTATGGTTTTATTACTTTCTGTGGAAGGTGGACGACCAATTCCACGATCCGGACCAAACGAAGGAGGTATATTTTTCCAATAAATTTACACTTTTACAATAATTATTTTATTTTAATATACAGAAGGCTAAATTCGTTATGGACGAGCTGAATCGAACGGCATATGAAAAGAAATTTAAATTTAAAAAAGGGTTCTTTTCTTTTCCTTTTTATTTCTTAAAAAAGTATGTTAATTCAAAACTCTTCTATAATTCGATAAATTAATCATTTCTGTTATGCATATTTTGTTTATTATTTCCATATTTAATTTTAAATAACCGAAAAGATAACACAACAAAATTGACTATTAACGTCCAAAATAAAATAAATTTTATAAACTATAAGCAAAAATTAAGAAAAGCTGGCTTATTCGACAATGACAAACAAAAAAAAATTTTTTTAAGTCGAAATAAACAAGACTTCAAAATGACTAAACAAGACTTCAACCTCCTGGGTTATAAATTAATGTCAGACAAGTTTACTATTTTAGATAATTATTTTTTCTTAGTATATTTTGATACATTAAGTAAAAAATCACATTTGCTTAAAACTTAGCTTGATTCGAATTCCGATGTTAATTTTAAAAGGAAAAGGACACACTATTTCTTTGCCTAGAAATTAAAATCCAATTGTTGCTTTATGAGCCTAAAAGACCTTTACGCTTTTTATTTTAAAAAAGCGTTTTAAATTTCTTAATCCTTAATAATTAATTTTATTCATTTTTTTCTTATCTTTTTTTATAAAATTCTTTTCAGAAAATATAAAATATTTTGATTTAAAATCAAAAAACAATAATTTATTTAGTTCTACCCAAATTTTCAATAATTTTTGTAACTTCTGTCCACTGTTGAGATGATGGAGGGACTCTCCTTCTAATTAATTGTAGCATTGTTAAGTCAATTTTCTCTGCTGCTAGTGTTGCCGCTTTTTTTATTTCACTTAAAAAAATTAATTTTTTAAATTTCCACAATTTATATACTCACTTCATAATTAAATAGGCGCGAACTTGTTCCTCATAACCAGTCAGTTTATCCATAAAACGCGTTGCTAAATTTTTGTCTCCATATTTTGTACACAATTCAATAATTGACTAAATGTTAAATATTTTAATTGAAGAATTGGTATTATTTTAAAAATTCCTCCTACCAATAAGGTTAAACCCACGTTTTGCTAATAAACTTAATGGCAAGAGGGCTTCCCGTATCTTTAGCGTGAGTGTGCCAGTTTCACCATTCATTTATCACCTTTCGCCCGAAGTTCAACCTTTTTGGACTTTCGTCTTACGCTTTTTAAAATCACTTAACAACTCTAATTTTAAGCCTTATTGTAAAATACGGAAAGCCCTCTCTTTTCTAAATAATGGTCAGACAAAAAGCAAAAGATAGTGAATAATAACAACAGATAACCCAAGAGAGACAGTTATAAATGAGGAACATTTAAAACCAAAAATTTCTACCAAAAATCCCATTGGACTCTTTCTTGATCGTGCATATTGTTCCAATTGTTGCCATTTACTTGCACGAGCAAATCCTTCAATTGTCCAAAGGAAAACTCTATTTTTAAAAAATAAAAATATTTTTTAAATGAAAAAACACACAAAACTGTTTATCAACAAGTCTGTGTTGTTTTCTTAATTGATCCATTATTGCAAGTTCGTCGTGTTCAACAGCCCAAATAAAAGTGTCCCGAACAGATAAATGAGATAATGAAGTACCAAACTATAAATTAATTAATTTTAAAAAATGTCGAAAATTGTTAAGTCTGACGGCAACTTATGTAAATACAAGGGGACGAGGCAACATAATGAATAAATTCAGACTTTAGGGAATCGGGATTCACGACCTGTAAACGTTGGCAATTTCCGATTTTCGGGAATCAAGTCGGATAGGTTCCTGAATGTACCCAACATAATTTAAACTCCTTTCTAAATATATCCTTTAGGTTTACAAAAAATTTCCCTTTCAACACTCTAGCAGGATGACCCTTTACAAATCACCAAAAGGGGGCATGGTCTCTCAAAAAGGGGGAATAAAGAGGGCAAATTAGCCAAAAAAAAGGGGCGAAAAAGCCAAAAAGATGGAAAAAGGGTGGTAAAGAGTGCTAAAAAGGTCACACTGCCCTCTAGTCATAATTCAATCAAATCAAAATTTCAACTAACACACACACTCACCTTTTCCTCCCTTTTAACATTTTCTATAATTAATTGAGCATTTTCACCAATTAATTGAGCTGTTTGTGTTTCCTTCATATTTTTCAAAGCTTTTTCAGCTTTAAACAAAAATTCTGTTGTTTTGGAAGAATCAAAAACATCGGCACTAGATTGTTCTGCTTTGCTTAGATATAAAAGTGCTTGCCGAATAAAATCATCACTTTGTTCGTATAAAGCTAATAAACGGTCTGGGGCTTCGTCTCGAATCTCGCTCTTAAAAAAGGGAATTTTTGGTTATAAATTATTAGAAAAAATAATTTTTTAGTTATAGCCGGACCTAATATAACAGATAAATTTAAAATCATTTTTTAAAAATTTAATTGAACATGGGTGGGGATAGACCCCTAAACGATAACTCCTATTTGACTCCTATAATATTTCACTCACGAGGGTATATTTCATGTTAAGGTGACACTTTGAGATTATTAAGATTTTTAAATAAAATTTGTAATATGCCTGATAAATGCTGAGAGCCTGTGGGGCTTTACTTAACAACATTTCTACTTCCAATCCACTCATATTGCTACGCAAATGTCTCAAAACAAGATGCACTATAATTTAATGATCAAAAAAATTTAGTGGACATTTAAAAAATGATAAGAAAAAATAAAGAATTATCAACTCAAAGGTTGGTATAATCTCAATTAAGCTAAAATTTCGAATACTAGATAAAGGAGTATTATTTAAATCCTCACTCAAATCAGGTTGTTGACTTTGTCCCGCCCTTTGTAACGCCTTCTCCAATTGTTTTAATTTTAGCATTGCAGTCACTTGTCTGCTTACATTTGTCTCCAAATCAAGTAAAATTTCAGCTAATGATGGCAATCCTTGGCGTGATGCCATTTCAGCAACGTCTTTAAATTAATAGTTAAAAAAATAAATAAATCAGGTACCCGCATAGCTAATGGCTGGATATTGGCGTAAACGGGAAATTAAACGTTGTGCAAGTTCTGCAATTTTATGAGCATTGGCACTTTCAGAATCTCTTAAAAGTTAAAGCTTTAAAATATTTTTTGATTAAAATTCCCCTCCCTAAATTTTTCCTTTTCCTCATTTCGGAGGGGGGGGGCACCTTGGCTACGGCCCTGTCTCCTTCGCCTCCCCTCACCACTCAATGGCCAGAGAATATTGGCCAATTCCAGTTCACAATTAAATAACCCATCACGAAAAATTTCAGAAACAGATTATTCATCCCGCTTAAATTTTTAAAACACAAAGGTTAATATTCAAAAAAAATTGACTCGTGCCCAGATTGAGCGTCTGATTAAGTCATATATTTTATTTGGTTTACACAACTGGGATTAAATTCTTTAGCATTTTTTGTGTACCTAAGCACTAGGCCTGGTATCACCCAGTAGTCTTTGAAAGGAAAATAAATTCAAATAAACAACCTTGTGAGGAAGCATGAGACTCGACAAGAGCCCAATTATTTTTCAAAAAAATATTTCAAACCTATTTTGTTCCTTAAAAGTAGTCATCATAGCCAAACACCAATGTGCAATAACTTTGTAAACACCTTCTTTTGAATTAATTTCCAAAAATTCACAAAGCTTTACAGCCATAGGCCAATGACCCAAAACAACTAAACGATCAACAATTGAAGCTGGGGAAAGTTCTTCTAATTGAGTAAATGTTAAAGGAATTCCCATAAGTCGAAGAGCATTTAAAACACGAAGAAGACGACAAATACGAACAAATTTATCAGCATCGTAAGGTCTTTGACATCTACGCATTCCTATTGAAGCTGCCTTTAAATTTTGAAAAATTATCTTCCCTGACCACCGCAAAGTTAATCGAAGTCATTTATTATATGAAAAAATATTTTTATAATAAAACGCCCTAAATAGCAAATATGGAAAATCTTAAACCTTTAAAAGCTGTTTTTGTAATTTTGAGTCAAAATGGTGTGCAGCAACAGATAAACATTGATCTACAGCTATATTCATATCCTCTGGATTTATTGAACGAATAAATCTAAAAATAAAATTTTAAACTCGCTTGTACTAGTCAGAGACAGCCTATTCATTTGGACAATAAATTTCAATGACACCCCACCGCAATTAGTAATAGTGCTGCTCGGGAATCAAAATTTACCAAGACTCGAGAACTGAGAATCTCGAGCAGCCTTATTAGATACACACTCAATTTTTAATTCGATCGGACTTTTTAATTTGATTAGCCAATGTGTGGAAGAGGGGACGGCTATCTAACCACAAGAGATACGCTCAATTTTGATATCAATCATTTTAAAAAATCCATTATCTCCAAAAATTTTTCTAGTCAACATTTTTTTAAATAAAAAAACAAACTCATAAGATGCATGACTTTTCTGTTCCAACTTTACAGCAGATCCATAGAGTAAAGCTCCAGGTTCATTACTTCCCAAGCCTAGGACAGATTTTGATGCATCTTGGATTGGTAAAAGTAAAGAAGTAGACCGTCTAGTAAATACTCTAATTCCATCAATATCAGTGTTAAAACGAGCATCAGAAGAAAATGAAAAACTAAAAAATAAAAATTTTAATTGGCTTGGATGTAAAAGTTTAGTCATAAAAACACTGAAAATAGCTAAAAGAGAAAATAAGCGGCCGTTTATGAGTTTAATTAAATTCTTATAAGTCCAAATAAAATATAAATCAAAAGATAATTGAACTCGTAAACATGACCAGTGGTACTGGAAACTCTAAAATGTTTCTTGCCTAAAACACACCTTCCCCTGAATTAAAATAAATAACAAACGTAGAATTAAAAGTATTTTCCATATTTTCTATTTGATTTAAATCAGAAGTTCCTTCTAATGAATAAATTGACAAATTATTTGAAGATTCTAATTTTTGTTCAATTGCAAAAGATGATTTTCCACACCTTAAAAATAAAAAAAAATTAGAAAAACTAAAAAATAAATTAAAGAGGGGTTTTTCACGCCCGTGAACCCCCCCCCCCCCGAAATGGGGAAAAGGAAAAAATTTGGGGAAGGGCTGGGGCAAATTTTTTTTTGAAAGTGAATTTTTTGGCCTACGACCTCTGAAATTTAAAAAATTTTCGCCTGCGGCGCTAAAAAAAGGAAGAAATCTGGCTTATTGATGTCCAAAATTCAAAAAATTTGTGCCTGCGGCGCTGAAAATCAAAATTTTGGCGCCTGCGGAGCCGAAAAAGTGAATTTTTGGCGCCGAAGGCGCCAAAAATTTGGCGCAAAAAATTTTTCCCCCTTGCCCCCCCCCCCCCGAAAAAAATCCTGGCTACGGGCCTGGAAGAAAGTTATTAGAAGCTGGTTCAATCTTTGATGAAAAAAATCGAAAAAAACTGGTTTCAGAGTCAAACATTATGTAAATAATTTAAGGTTTTAAAAAGTCAGCACTAATCTGGAATGAGATAAAATAATAAAAAATAAAGGATTGAGCCTGAAAAATCCCAAAAAATAAAAACATATACCAAAATATTTGTTCAATTTCTCCATTAAATTCCAAATTAATTTGTTTAAGACATTGAAAATCATCAACCTCAACGTCAATTAATTGCATTAATTTTGAGTCGTGCAAAAGTAATAATTGACATTGGTCATTGTCCAATTCCATTTTTATGTATTGTCCTTCTGTTTTAGCCCATGGAAAATTCTAAAAAAAATTTTTATTTAATAAAATTGGAAGGATGGGCAAATAATAATTAATTTTGTAAAAATAAAGCAAAAACTAAAAGTAAGCTGAAAATTTGTCCTTATTTTTTTAGCCAAAAAAAAAAGACAGAAAATTAATTCTTTTTCAGAAAAAAATTTCCCAGTCATTGAAAGAATTTTTTGTTTCAAAAAAATTGCAAACTAACGCAAGGTTGAAAGGAACACGTTTCCTGCTCTCCAATTAAAAAACTATTTTTAGAGCATAACAAAACACGTGTTGGTTTAATACAACTTGTAATGACTGTCCAACATGTTAAATTCTCTAAAATTATTTTTCTTAAAAAAATTCTGAAAATTTAAAAAAAAAACTTGAATCACTCAAAATTCTCCAAAGTAAAGGTGTAGTGACAGAATTTACAACAAAAAAATGTCCGGATTTATTAAGTATGACAAGTCCAGTCTCGTTAGAGTATGAAAATATTTTTGCTTCAGACAAACCAACTGATAAAGTTTCCTTAAAAATAAAAAAATTTTATATTTGAAATTTAAGGCAAGCTATTTTTGACATTTATTTTATTGAAAAATGTTTTGGAAATTTTGCAAAAGAAAAAAGTTTTTGCGAGTATGGGTAAAGATTGTCAAAGGGAGTGGAAACATGGACCCTGCTGTCGCGACTATCTAGTCAGCGATAGGGGAAAAAGTAAAGAACAAGGAGATGGGTAGCGGCTGGAAATAACAACACGAGCAAATTTGCAGCATGTGTTTGGATTGCCAAACGGATTAGGCCGCGGTTTGGAGAGAAGAGGCCCTTGATCGAAGGACGGCAATCCAACTTAATTTTTCCCACCGCCGACATAAAAAATCGATTCCGAATTTTAGGGAATCAAGATGGAGAATCTCTGTTTGGGGAAACCACTTCGAAAGATAGCTCTAAATATACAAATAGAACAAGGCCATTATTAATTTTCAAAAAAATTTTTGGTGGATATGAAAAAGATTTAAAAACGGTCAATCCAAAAACATAGAAAATGTTATCCACAAACTGTGTCGCAAAAAGAGTCGGAACCGCTTTTCGGGGAAAAATATATATATTAAGTAAAAATCTGAGGGGCTTAAGGAGGTAAACAAAAATTTAACTCAAAAAATAAATTTAAAAATAACCTCTCCCATAGTTGAAGTTTTTAACAATTTTCCCAAAGCATCATAAAGCAATACACGCCCAACATTATTTATAACAATTAATTTGAGACATTTTGTCCAAAAAAGATATAAAGCATTACTCGCATTTATAGAAGCAATTTGGGCCCCATTTTGCATATAAATACCGATCATTGACGAATTTGGGGATTTACTTGGAATTGAAATTGCTGGAAAAAAATTTTTTGAGAGGCTAAAAAATTGAATTTAAAAAGAAAAATAAAAAAGAATTTTGAGTTAATTTTGTAGCAGTTTAGCTTGCCCCTCCCATTACCTCTAATTGTCACATAAACTTGGATTCCGGGAAAGAAGATTTTCATAAAATTTGTTTAAAAAATCTCGAATAGTTCTCATTGTCAGTTTCCTAATCGAATTTAAAATTGCTGAAACTTTTTAAAAGGGCTGTTAGCGGCAAGTTAATTTTTCTCTGTGGTGGCACAGATTCTGTTATTTCTCACTATTTAGGCCGCCGCGAGGGGGAAATTAATCGCTCGCCAACACCCAACCTTTAAAACTATGCAAACAAAAAATATTGAAAAACGGGAACGGAAAACCAAAAAACCATTTGCTCTAACGTGGTTTTTAGCCCTATTGGCAAGAAATTCGAAGGCGAAATTGAATTTCGTAACCCCACCTTCTTTTTTCCTTCACAAAGTGTAAAATGGTCAGACTTAAAATATGTTAAACCTTACTTTGTGACGTTAAGTCCCCAGCTCTGATTTTTATAGCCAATAGTCCAGTACGGTGCGCGTGTAACATAACTCAACGTAAGAAAAGCTTTCTATTCCCATAAAAATTTGATACAATGAACCCGTTTCAAATAGCACCCAACATTGGCATTGATTCGAAAAAAGCTAGGTACCTAAAGTGAGGTTTATAACATTCCTATTTTAAGTCAGTCCATTTTTCCGAATTTTATGGAAAAAAGGAGAGGTACGAAATTCAATTTTACCCCCAAAAATTAATGATTCCAAATGATCCCAACCTTTTTTGAAAAGTTAAAAAAATTACAAACCAATAGGCCCAGCAAATGGACAGCAAGCAAAAAGTATTTGTTCATCGCTTCTTTTTGGAAATAATGGCAAATTTAAATTATCATAAAGACATAAATTTCTTTAAAAAATAAAAATTATTAAAATAATTTAAAGAAAAATCTTACTGAATTGAAGGAAGACCAGTCATAATTAATTAAAAAATCATTTACAACTAAAAAATGAAAAAATTTGAACAAAAAATAAAAAAATTAAGTATATTGCCAAAAAACTCATTCAGGTAAAATCTATGAATCTACTTAAAAACAGTGTTACGCACGTGCGGTTGCGACGATTGCGGAATACAATTACGGATTCGACAATTGCGGATTAAAAATTAAAAAAAATTTTTTTAATGATTAGAATGATATCCGGGTCTTTAGCCCCGGTTGTCAGTATCAGACATCTGAAAGTTTTCGAATCATTTTTTGACTAATGTGGCCTGAAAACCCGGTTAAGGACGATTCAGTATCGCCGATTCAGTCTACGCCGATTCAGTATCCGCCGATTCAGTATTCGCCGATTCAGTATAGCCGATTCAGTATTCGCCGATTCAGTATAGCCGATTCAGTATTCGCCGATTCAGTATAGCCGATTCAGTATACGTGGAAAAGGGGACGATTCAGTCAGTATACGTAGAATAAAATACCCTAAAAATAGAAATTTTTGGAAAGGAACTGATTTATTTTTTCGTTTTAAGCATTTTCTTTGTTCTTTAGGTGGTCTACCATAACAATTAGCAATAACCAACAACAATTATTAACGGAAAAAATAATTTTTATGTAAAATTTAGAATTTTTTTTAATTTTTTAAAATTTTTAAATTTCTTCAATTTTCTCAATATCTCAAGACGGCGAGAATTCTACAATGAATGGCGAGGTTTCTACTACAGAACATGGTTTATTTTTTAGTTTTTTGGCTTTTTGAAATTTTTTTATTTTCCCCATTATGTACAATGGGGAGCTATAGCCCCAGAAGCTCCCTGGCCGTTATCCTTACGAATTTTAGCGGGCTTTTTGCGGAGATTTCTTACTTCCCAATTCCACTCCCCATTCCATTTTTTATTTTTAAAATTTTTTTAATTTAAGACAATCCAGTCCTGGACTTGTTCTTATTTGTGTCGAGCAGCTTGCTGTTGAGGTTGTTGCCTGGTCTTCTTTAGGGCCACAAATCTAATAAGTGAAATGTAGACCTTGTTCTTATTTATTTTTTGATAAATTTTTGTTTATTTGACTCATTTTTTAAAAAATTTTTGTTACCCGAAGAAAAAGTCGAGACCAAAACTTCACCCTAAGCCAGAAAAAGCCTAAGAGAAGCCTAAAATTAAGACTTGGCTAGCTTTAAAGATGTTCTATAGATCGTAGAAAGTAAGAAACACGAAAAAAACTACAAGAAAAAAGATTTTCTAGCCCAAAAATATACATAGTATACTGAATCGTCCCCTTTTCCACGTATACTGAATCGGCTATACTGAATCGGCGAATACTGAATCGGCGTAGACTGAATCGGCGTAGACTGAATCGGCGATACTGAATCGGCGAGACTGAATCGGCGATACTGAATCGTCCCCTACCCCTGAAAACTAGAGATCGGACATTTTTCGTCTAACAGGATTATATGTCTCTCTTCAGGACGCCTGTGTCGATGAACACTCTCTCGTTTTGAAAAGACGAGAGCTATTTCGGAAGCATAAAGCTATTTCGGAAAGCCTGAAGAATAAAAGTTTTAAGTGCTTATTGTGTTTTTTTCGTTTCTTCAGTCAAATTTACGCAAAATAATTTTGTTGTTTTGGCGTTCTGTATTAAAAAAAATTTTTTTTATTATAAAAGCCGTTTCAAAAACAGACTTTTTCTTCCAAAAATGGCCGCAAATCAACGGAAACGTTGATTTCCAATGGAAAGAATGGAGGCCAGTTTGTGTTATGTCCAATTGGTGGAATGTTTTATGATTGTCAAGACCGTTCTTTCTAAAATCTGGACTTTCGTCTTCGGCTCTTGCTCAGGTTTTACTTTGTAAACTGTTTTGTATACTTTTTAGGAATCCTTTTTTGTTTAGCCAAAACTTGTTAATTAGTCTACAAACAATAGTTTTAGATTTGGTAGCTGTCGGATTTGAACAAATGATGGCAAACTTGACAGTCTTGAGTTCCCCCCCCCCCCCTCTCGTTTTACCTGCCGTGAGGTGGTAAAATCACATATAGGTGTCCTGTGATGGTATTGGCTTAAAAAATTTAAACAAAAGGAGTGCTATCGCATTCACCCATCATGTCCCAACTGTAGTTGAGACACTTTTTCCTGTCTTGTGTATACTCAAACCTCCCAAAAGCTGAAATTTTGAGCCCGGCCCGGAGCTATTTTGCAAAAAAAACGGGTATCATTTCGGAATAGGAAGTCAAAGCTCCTCTATCGAATGGTACCAAAAAATATATTGAATCGGGACTGACACTAAACAATGTCCCCTGTGAGAGATAATGCGATAGTACCAAAAATGATCTACTGGTTATTAAAATTTAATGCCAATTAAAATTTTTATTTTTTTTAGTTTTTTATCTTCTTCTGATGCTCGTTTTAACACCGATATTGATGGAATTAGAGTATTTACTAGACGGTCTACTTCTTTACTTTTACCAATCCAAGATGCATTAAAATCTGTCCTAGGCTTGGGAAGTAATGAACCTGGAGCTTTACTTTATGGATCTGCTGTAAAGTTGGAACAAAAAAGTCATGCATCTTATGAGTTTGTTTTTTTTATTTTTTAAAATACTGACTAGAAAAATTTTTGGTAGAAATGTGCTTTGTAAATTATTGATATCAAAATTGAGCGTATTTCTTATGTTAAATAGCCGTCCCCTCTTCCCACACATTGGCCAATTGAACTAAAAATTTAGTGTGTAATCTAATAGGGCTGCTCGAGATTCTCAATCACGAGTCTCGCTAAATTTTATTCCTGAACATCACTATTATCTAATAGCGGTGGGGTGTTATTGAAATTTTTTGTCCGAATGTAATCGTTTGCCTCTGACTAGTACTAGCGAGCGAAGAGGCCATATTGAAAATTTTATTTTCAGATTTATTCGTTCAATAAATCCAGAGGATATGAATATTGCTGTAGATCAATGTTAATCATTTGCTCCACACCATTTTGACTCAAAATTACAAAAACAACTTTTAAAGGTTTCTAATTTTTTTATTTTTGAATCATCACCAAAGTCTTTAATAAACGACTTGCTGACTTTTGGAAAGATATAAAAAATTTTTTTCAAAATTTAAAGGCAGCTTCAATAGGAATGCGTAGATGTCAAAGACCTTACGATGCTGATAAATTTGTTCGTATTTGTCGTCTTCTTCGTGTTTTAAATGCTCTTCGACTTATGGGAATTCCTTTAACATTTACTCAATTACAAGAACTTTCCCCAGCTTCAATTGTTGATCGTTTAGTTGTTTTGGGTCATTGGCCTATGGCTGTAAAGCTTTGTGAATTTTTGGAAATTAATTCAAAAGAAGGTGTTTACAAAGTTATCGCACATTGGTGTTTGGCTATGATGACTACTTTTAAAGAACAAAATAGGTTTGAAAAATTTTTTTGAAAAAATATCTGGGCTTTTCTGCAGTTTATGCGTCTTGTTATTTGAATTTAGTTACTATCACATTATACACTACAGATGAGGAAATGGTTGTCCGCAAATTTTATCTTTTCCTTCTTTTAACAGAGGATTTTTCTTGTAGCATATTCAAATGAGAAACAAATAAAGACTAGGGTTGGGTATATCCATAAATGACTTCAAAATTTATCAAAAAATAGTCTGAAGTTTTAAAAAAAATAAACATTTTTTTCTGGTTCTTTAATTCAATGATTTATGCCAATTAAAATTTTTATTCTTTTAGTTTTTCATTTTCTTCTGATGCTCGTTTTAACACTGATATTGATGGAATTCGAGTATTTACTAGACGGTCTACTTCTTTACTTTTACCAATCCAAGATGCATCAAAATCTGTCCTAGGCTTGGGAAGTAATGAACCTGGAGCTTTACTTTATGGATCTGCTGTAAAGTTGGAACAAAAAAGCCATGCATCTTATGAGTTTGTTTTTCTTTTGAATTTTTAGAATTAAAAAATATTTTTAGAAATTTTAACTCTTTGGACAATCATACAAAATATGGAACTAATGGGAGAGGACAGTAAATTTTTGTTTAAATTTGTATCCTATTTATGTTGAATTTTAATTTTGTTTTTTTACAAAAATTCAAGGTTAGGACTTGCTATTTTCAATTATTATTTTTAAAGTTTTTTTTTCTGACTTTTCATCAGTTTTTTTTCTTCTCACTATTCAAATTGACAAATTTATTAGAGCCTTTCCTGTAAATTTAGTTTTGATTAATTTTACTTTTACTGCTTCAGTACGCCACGGGAGCGGTTTATGCGGCGGTTACGCGTTCAACAAAGATATGTAGATGCTTCTGGTGGGTCGCATCGAACTTCAATGACTTTACATTGTCAATGACTTTACATTAGCTTACTTCAGGATTTCCTAATCTTAACAAATTTGGTATTAAACGATTCCTCTCAGCTTTAAACTTCAAGTTTATTTTTAATTTTTTTAAATTTTTATTAAGAATTATTTTCTAGAAAAAAATTGTTTGGGTTTTATTTACAACAATGGAACAACAAAACTACTGTTCCGCTTGAATGGTTCAATCAATGGATTGAAGGAGAACAAAACGTTCCTGTCCCTCTCCATCAAACCAATTGGCAAACATATTAATGGGCCAGGTAAAAGTGTGTGTCCAGTTTTCGACAACTAAATTTAAAAAATGTTCCTGGATAAATTTGTACATTTGAATAATGAGTCAAGCTCGTAACCAGGGGAAATCTCCCCCAACCCCACCCCCCTAAATGGGAAAAAGCCCTTCCCGGAAATTTTTATAAAATTAGTTTAATCATAAGAAAATTAAAATTACTATTTTGTGGTTGTTGTTGTGCCATTTTTTTGAAAAATCCAAATGTTTTCTAAAAAATAATTTTTAATAAATTTTAAAAAATTAAAAAGAAACTTGATGTTTAAAGCAAAGAAGATTGTTTAATACTAAATTTTGAAAGATTTAAGCAAATTTTCCAGCTAGTTATAGCTTTTTTAAAGGCAAATTTGAAGTTTTTTTAAATTTTTTCTAAAAAAATTATTATTTTTAATTAAAAAAAGGTGTGATCTTAAATTAGATTCCTAAATTTTAGATGGTCACTAAAATGAGAAGCACAAAATCAAAAGGAAAATAACTGAAAAAAACAATGAACGACTTAAATACTATTTTAAGGTTTATTCTTATAAGACGGGATTCCAGAAATACAATCCCTAAGATTCCAAAAAACCGAGATTTTCGGACTTAAAAATTATTTTTTAGAAATAATTGGATTTTTCATCAAAATGTTTCAACAACAACAGCCTTGGAGCCCTACAAAAGTATTCTAGTAAGGAATCAGCCCCATAATCTTGTTCATATCATCAGATATAATCTTTCTTGGTGTCATCGACCTCGCTCGAAGAGCTCAATCAAATGCTATATAATAAATATAGATCAAACAAAAAGTTCGGAATGGTTAGGGAGACTGGGAAAAAGGAGAACAACCAAAGTATTACAAAAATCCCTTAATAATAAAAACTGGAAGTAAACCCTTCCCGGTAATTTTAATAAAAAAATTAGTTTAATTATAAAAAAAATTAAAATTACTTGGTTGTTGTTGTTGAAACATTTTGATGAAAAAAAGTCCAATAAGGTTTTTTCTAGAAAATAATTTTTAATAAAAATTTAAAGAAATTAAAAATAAACTTTAAAGTCTCCGCAAAGGAATACGTACTACAGAAAAGATGCTGAGAAGTTTTGCTTTTTTTAGCTTTTTTTGAATTTCTCTAAAAAATTTATTATTTTTAATTAAAAATGTTGGTAATATTGAACCGGACAGACCCCTTTTTTCCTCCCCAATTTTTCCCCTATATTTTTCCTCCTTTTACTTGATTTTCGCATGTACTTGCACTTATATAAAATTAAATAATCCTTTTTGTTTGATTTTAGGCAAAAATTAGAAAGGCAATTTGGATGGAAGAAAGGAAAAAGTCTGACCATTTTGCAAAAATATAGGGGAAAAATTGGGGAGGAAAAAAGGGGTCTGTCCGGTTCAATATTACCAACATTTTTAATTAAAAATAATAAATTTTTTAGAGAAATTCAAAAAAAGCTAAAAAAAGCAAAACTTCTCAGCATCTTTTCTGTAGTACGTATTCCTTTGCGGAGACTTTAAAGTTTATTTTTAATTTCTTTAAATTTTTATTAAAAATTATTTTCTAGAAAAAACCTTATTGGACTTTTTTTCATCAAAATGTTTCAACAACAACAACCAAGTAATTTTAATTTTTTTTATAATTAAACTAATTTTTTTATTAAAATTACCGGGAAGGGTTTACTTCCAGTTTTTATTATTAAGGGATTTTTGTAATACTTTGGTTGTTCTCCTTTTTCCCAGTCTCCCTAACCATTCCGAACTTTTTGTTTGATCTATATTTATTATATAGCATTTGATTGAGCTCTTCGAGCGAGGTCGATGACACCAAGAAAGATTATATCTGATGATATGAACAAGATTATGGGGCTGATTCCTTACTAGAATACTTTTGTAGGGCTCCAAGGCTGTTGTTGTTGAAACATTTTGATGAAAAATCCAATTATTTCTAAAAAATAATTTTTAAGTCCGAAAATCTCGGTTTTTTGGAATCTTAGGGATTGTATTTCTGGAATCCCGTCTTATAAGAATAAACCTTAAAATAGTATTTAAGTCGTTCATTGTTTTTTTCAGTTATTTTCCTTTTGATTTTGTGCTTCTCATTTTAGTGACCATCTAAAATTTAGGAATCTAATTTAAGATCACACCTTTTTTTAATTAAAAATAATAATTTTTTTAGAAAAAATTTAAAAAAACTTCAAATTTGCCTTTAAAAAAGCTATAACTAGCTGGAAAATTTGCTTAAATCTTTCAAAATTTAGTATTAAACAATCTTCTTTGCTTTAAACATCAAGTTTCTTTTTAATTTTTTAAAATTTATTAAAAATTATTTTTTAGAAAACATTTGGATTTTTCAAAAAAATGGCACAACAACAACCACAAAATAGTAATTTTAATTTTCTTATGATTAAACTAATTTTATAAAAATTTCCGGGAAGGGCTTTTTCCCATTTAGGGGGGTGGGGTTGGGGGAGATTTCCCCTGGTTACGAGCTTGACTCATTATTCAAATGTACAAATTTATCCAGGAACATTTTTTAAATTTAGTTGTCGAAAACTGGACACACACTTTTACCTGGCCCATTAATATGTTTGCCAATTGGTTTGATGGAGAGGGACAGGAACGTTTTGTTCTCCTTCAATCCATTGATTGAACCATTCAAGCGGAACAGTAGTTTTGTTGTTCCATTGTTGTAAATAAAACCCAAACAATTTTTTTCTAGAAAATAATTCTTAATAAAAATTTAAAAAAATTAAAAATAAACTTGAAGTTTAAAGCTGAGAGGAATCGTTTAATACCAAATTTGTTAAGATTAGGAAATCCTGAAGTAAGCTAATGTAAAGTCATTGACAATGTAAAGTCATTGAAGTTCGATGCGACCCACCAGAAGCATCTACATATCTTTGTTGAACGCGTAACCGCCGCATAAACCGCTCCCGTGGCGTACTGAAGCAGTAAAAGTAAAATTAATCAAAACTAAATTTACAGGAAAGGCTCTAATAAATTTGTCAATTTGAATAGTGAGAAGAAAAAAAACTGATGAAAAGTCAGAAAAAAAAACTTTAAAAATAATAATTGAAAATAGCAAGTCCTAACCTTGAATTTTTGTAAAAATACCTATTAATGGTTTGTGATCGTGTAATATTTTAAATAAATTGAATACTCGGGATTTTGAAAAAAACTTCGATCGAGTCACTTCAGTTCTAAAAAAATAATTGTCTAAATACCTACCCAGTTTGATAATCTTAGTAAAATGCCTATTCATTATACAAATACTAAAAAATTTAAACAAAATAAATTGCCAAAATAAAATATTTAATATATTTTAATATTAAAATCAAATTATCCGTTGCTGTTTTGCAAAATTCCAAAAATATAAGTTTTAAAAGGCTCCATCCTCTCATTTATTTTACACGAAACATCCCTGTCGGTGTATTAATCTTCTCAACATAATTAGCTGGCAACATTCCCCATAATAATGTTTTCTGTACTGTTCCGGTTAACCTAAAAAATAATTTAAAATTTTTTGAATTCAACTTATTTACAAATTTAAACTTGAGTTAGCTTATGATTAGAGTTATCGGTCTAAAACAAAAAGTAGGATTTCAGATTTTTGGTTTAGTATAGGTATCAGTTAACCAAAGAATTTAGTTGACTCTACTTATAAGATTTCAAGTCAGCGCGGTTGGGAACCGTTGCTTATTTTGTAAGATACGAACAAAAGATTAGCGGTTCCGAAAATCTGTTGGAATGCTCTAAGCTTTCTTAGTCCAATTTTGCCCCCTTCCCATTTCTATCTGAATCAAAAATGTTTGGTATTTCACGAGCATAATTTAAGCTGAGGCTTTTACAATTTAAAATTGAGATTTTTTGTAATTATTGTTAAAGTCTTAAAACTTTAGCAAAACCTTTTCTTAAAAAACTTTTTAAAAAATTTCAAATAAAACTGACCAGCCATCATCCACTTTTTGGCAATTAACAATAACATCTCCCTCCTTAAAGCTAACCTAAAAAATTATTTTTAAATTTATTTTTCAATTTTACTCTCACTTCATCTTTATCCGCCGCTGTATAATCATAAAGGGCTTTAACAGTAAACCCCCCAGTCGCAGCCTTTCCTCCAGGGGCTTTTCCACCACCTGTAGGCCCAGAAGCGTTTATTTGTTTGGTTGGTTGTTCTGCTAAATTTTGAATGTTTTTTAAATAAAATTTGGAGTTTTCAACCGCTCATAGGGTCATAATCTGCAATTGAACCGACAGGTTTTTTCTCGGTTGGGGAAACTGAAAGAGAAATTTTTTAGAAAATTAAATTTTTAATTTAAATAAATTTTTTATTGAAGTAAATATACTTAAGTGTCAGTTATCTACTTTACTTGCACCTTAACTTAAATACATCCATTTTAACAGAAATTTTAAAATTTGACTGCTTTGTCGATATATTATATTTTTATATTTTCAGTCCCTAATCAAGAGGTCTCTGTATTCTTTAACAAATATCCAAGTATTTTAAGCCCTAATAAATTTTTTCTAATAGCAAGACTGAATTTTAATAAAAATTTTTGATGGGCAAACTGGACTAGAAGTTAATTTTAGTACATACAAAGCGGGGTCTAATTAGGTAAACTAGGAAAACGCTTAAGGAAAAATACAAGAACACTCGTATTAATTTTAAAAAACAGCAAAACAACTCAAAAATTAATTAAAAGACCAAAACAAAAACACACCCCTTCCACCCATTTCTGTTGAATAAACAATAGTTCCGTGTGTTTGTTGCATTAACCTTTGGGTATATGGAGATATTCCATCATTTTCTTTATTTTTCTTTTTTGCATCCACAGCAGCTAATAATCCATAAACATTAAAGGAAGCTGCTGGATTTCCATTATTATTTTCGTTTCCATTATTTATTTGTTGCTATTTTTTAAAAAAATATTTAATAGAAAATAAAAGAAAAATTAGTCTAAACCCCCCAAGAGGTGAAAATTATTTTTTAAATTTTCTCTGAAATTCCGAATAAAAATATTTTTAATTTTAATACTTGAGGGTTCCCAAATTCATGCAGTTCCCCCAAAAGGAATTAAATAAGTGCCGATTCAAGTTGAGGGAAAAAATTTGCAGAAAAATAGCCAATTAGAAAAACAAGTGTGAAACCAAGCTTTAGGGATCCCCTTCTTTTCTTCCCCAATTTTTTCCTTATTTTTTTCTTATTATGTACAAAATTGTCAGACTTTCTTCCTTACTCAATTTCACTCTATTCTCCCTGTAGCATAAGCGATAGCGTTAATAAAGAAATGATTAAGTTGAGGAAGTCTGACCATTCTGTACACCGTAAGGAAAAAGAGTTAACCTGAGGTAAAAAAATTCGAGAAAAATAGCCAATTAGAAAAACAAGGGGTAAACCAAGGTCCCCTTTCTTCCCCCTTTTTTCATATGTACGAATGGTCAGACTTTTCATCCCTCAATTTCATTCTATTCCACCTGTAGCATATTCGATAACATTTTAATAAAAAATAATTAATTTGAGGAAGTCTGACCATTCTGTACATGATAAGAGAAAACTTGGGTAAGAAAAAAGGGAATCGCTAAACCTTAGTTTACCCAGAACAAGTCGTTAGAAAATTATTTAAACCAACATAATTTAAATGCAAATGTGTAGTATTGGAAGGTTGTGAAGAAGAATGTGTAGAAATAGACTCCATAGAATTAGAATTGTAAACTTTATGGGAAGGCTCATAAGCAGGTGTTGGTTGAATATTGGCCGTTGCTGCTGTTGCAAAGAAAGCTTTAAAAAACATACCAAACAAAATTAATTTTTAATAAAGCAAAAATAAAATAAAGTTTGTTAGCAAAATAAACGAAAAATGGGGTAAAATAAAAAGCATTTTTAAACGTTTACAAATTCAAAAATATTTTTGTATTCCACCGATATCACCTTCAAGGCGTAGCCAGGGGACTTCTGGGGCTAAGGCCCCCTTTCTCCTCGAAATCGGGAAAAGGGAATAATTTGAGAAGGGGATTGAGCAAAAAATTGAAATTTTTTCCCCTATGACCGTCCAGATTTCAAAAAATTTTCGCCTGTGGCGGAAGAAATCTGGATATGCCCTTGATCCCCTTAATCCCGCCAAATCCTTCAATATCTCCGTTAATCTCCCAAATCCACTTTTAATCCCCTATTAAGAAGAATAGAAAATGTTTGATCGAGGTAGGTTGGTATGGTGGTAGAATTGGTGAATCTGTTCTCTGACGGATTGTCCGGACACGTTACAAACAATTTTTGAAGATTATTTTCAATTTATTAAAATCAAAACACTACCCGCCGCCGCAGCAGCCGCAGGGTTTGGGCTTTCCCCTCCAGAGCGGTGAGCGTCCTGATCAACTTTCTTTTGGTGTTCCCCATGATAATGTGCCAATGACTGGACTTTTGTGTTGTCCAATAAACGTTTCATTTCCGGATCATCGGCAACCTCAATTTTTGTTCCACGCATTTTTTCGAATTGTTCGTGGTATTGGACCTTTAAAAATTTTTAATTTTTGAAAATCCCTTTCAAATCCTCTTCTCACCGCGGACTGATTTTTTGTGTTAATCCGCACTCTTTCCATTTCTGGAGTGTCAATTACTGCTGAAGGCACTGTTTTTGGGTAATGAGCCTTTAAATAAATTAATTTCTGAGAAAAAATTAGAAACAATTTACTTCACAATAAGGCTTCTTTTCATATCCTTTATATGTTTTCATTGAAAGAGTCATTCCACAAGCTTAAAAGTTGAAAAATTAAAGAAATTATGAGATTTATTTTTAAATTGGAAGAGGAAGGTATTTATTAGGGGTGTTCATTAACGGTTATTAACGAGATACCTACATAAAGCTTACAGTTAATCCAAATTTAAAAAACCCCGGTTTTAGTTAAAGTTTTAGTTAAAATTAGAGATCGGTCGGTATTTTTTCGATATTTTTCGGTATTCGGTTTCGATAAGAGCGGGTCATTTAATTTTTCAATAGCCTCAAAAAAGGGTCATTCAATTAGAAGGGTTATTCAAATAGAGGAGTCATTCAATTAGAGCAAATACGGTAATTCTTTTTAAGAAATCGTGTCCAACCCAGAGCTGTTTCGAAACAAAAAAAGTTTCGAAAATCGGAAATCGAAAATCGAAAGAAATCCAAAAATATCGAAATCGAAAATCGAAAATATTTTTCAAAATCTTCGAAATCGAAAATCGAAAATCGAAAGAAAAATAACCTCGAAAAACGAAAATCGAAAAACGAAAATCGAAAAAAATTTTTTAATAAAAGTAAATTGGAAAATAAATTTTTGTTATGTTGGAACTTTTGCTTGAACTCTAAGGAATTGGGGAAAACTAATGACTAGAATCGGAGATCCAGGGAGATCACGGATATCCAAGCACAAAATTTTGCATATTCGAATATACGGCACCGGCTCCGACCTATTCAAATCTTGGTCCTATGCCGGTGATTTTGTGAGCCGTTTCATGTTGTCTCCAGATTAAGAGGGATTAAGAAAAAGATCTAATCCTCCATTATTAAGAGAGATAATGGAGGATTTGAGTAAAATCCCCTGAATATACTAAAGCAGAGCTAGGCCGCTTTGCTCATAAGGTGGGGGCGGTACCTGGCATAGGGTTCAAGCATGGGGGCTTCCACTTTAATTCAAGCAATCCACTTTAATTCAAGCAAATCCTCCAATATACTCCAATATACCGAAGCTAAAGCATAATGTTGTTAAGGGATCACGGATTTCTTCAGTTTGCGCCGCAGGCGAAAATTTTAAAAAATTTGGAGGATCCTTAAGCCACAAATCTTCCTTATTCTGCGTCGCAGGCAAAAATTTTTAAAAATTTGGAGGATCCTTATGCCAAAAATCTTCCTTATTCTGCGCCGCAGGCGAAAATTTTGTGATTTTTGGAAGATCCTTAAGCCAAAAATCTTTCTTTTTCTGCGCCGCAGGCGAAAATTTTGAAAATTTATGAAGGCCGATAAGCCAAAAATCATCAACTTTGGCGCCAAAATTTAAAATTTTTTCAAAAATTCGGAAATCGAAAATCGAAAATATCACAAAATTTCGAAAATCGGAAATCGAAAATCGAAAGGAAAAAAACCTCGAAAATCGAAAAACGAAAATCGAAAATCGAAATTTCGAAACAGCTCTGGTCCAACCCCGTTTCAAGTTTATTTTACAGTCAACTTTACAAGCTCAAATTTGTTTTCTAAAACTAAAGTTTAAGCTTATCTTTTCGTGTCTATTAATTTAAATTTGTTAAAAGAACCTACCAGTACATTTAAAGCAACCTTTGTGCCACACCTAAAATTTTTTTAAATTTCATTCAAAATTTATTTTTTTTAATTTTTACTTTATCCAAACATTTAAGCTCTTCAATTGGATAAACAGTTTTTCCACACTCTTCTCGAGCACACTTTGCTGCCATTTTTAGAAACAAAAATAAATATATATGGAGTAAATAAAATAAATTGGAGTAAATAAAATAATATTTTATATTATTTATTTATTAAGACACCTTACTAAAATACAAGAAAATGTGAATATAAAAATAAAACAAAAAAGAAAAAAATAATTAAAAAATAATTAAATAAATTTAAAAAAATATTCACTTTAATTAAGGCACAAGCACAGGCGCGCGGCCATAACAACGCAAAGCCATAACCAGTCTGAAGATTACTGACCCTTCTCAATTTTGGTACCAATCTCTTCAGCTCGATGAGAGGAATCGTTTAATACTAAATTTGGCAAGATTCGGAAATCTTGAAGCAAGTTATGGCTTTGCGCCGTTAGTGACGCGCGCCTATTTGGGCTGTACACTTTAATTAATTGGCAACAATCCCGAATTTTATAAAATTTAAACGAAAACTATTAGTAAATTAAAAAATTTTATTTCAAATATAAAGCTTGGAGAGAGTAATTTTAAAAGAAAATTAAAAAAATAAAAGAAAAACCCTTTACTTAAATAAATAAATGGATGACTCATAAAATAAGCAAACACCGAAAAAGGTTAAAAGAAGTAAAGTAATGATGGGTGGAGGAACTGCGTTCCTTAGATCAATAACAAATTAGTAAATAAGGGGAAAGATTAGAAAAGTTTAAAAAAATTTTTGGAATATTAGAAAATTAAGATAAATTAGTGAGGCTTTTACAAAAACTTTGTCTACAGGAGAGGGTTCCCATTGTTTAGAAAAATTAGTATGCTTACAAAAACGACTAAAACAAGTTTATAAAGTACTATTAAAAATATGTTGATAAATTTAAATTTTAGTAAAGATAAACTTGAAAACAAAATTAAACTCGGAACTCAATAGCGAGCTATGGTCTCATAATGGTCAAAAAAACCTACCTATGTATAAATCTAAAAATTCAGAACAAAAATAGTTTGACAAAAAAGATGAATTTAAGTAGTTAGTATTTAACTGAAGCTTCAGCTTAAAAATAGAACGACAAAATTAAATTAAACGTGAAAGAAATTGAATATACTTACATATGTAAACTTTAAAATTACAACCTTAAAACACAAATTTTGTTTAATAATTGTATGTAAACTTTGTGTATTGTAAAATTTTAAATTGTAATAAAACAAATAAAAAATTAATTTAAAATCAAAAACAGCATGGAAAAGCGTCATTTGCTACAAAAATAAAAACAAGTATGTACTTACACTCCTCCAAACAACCACCTGCTGATCATTGTTGTAAAATATACACTAAAAATGTGTGTAAATGCTCATCAGCCAAACAATTTGTCGATCAATACGAGTGCTTTCTTTCGCTATTTTTAAATGAAAAGCTAAGGAGGAACTGCATCTGACCATTTACTTTAGGGAGAAAGTATAGCGAAAATATTTGTGGGGAGAAGAAGATGGGGGTTTTTTAATGTGTTTGCGTCTTTATACGCAGAAAAATAAATGAACGGCTACCCAATTTTAAAAGATGTTACTTTTTAAGGATTTACCGTATTTCCTCAAATAGTACGGCCGGCCGTACTATTTTTCAACCCTCTTCCAAAGGGCCGTACTATTTGAGGGGGCCGTACTAATTGAGGGGGCCGTACTATATTTCAACCGTCCTTCGGAATTTTCTGAATAATTTTTCTGGTTATGCCACCTTGAACTAAGGCTGTGTTTATTGGAATTTTTTTGTTCTTGTGTGGAATTTTTTTTTCGTTCTTGTGATTTTTTTGTTCTTGTGTGAAATAATCTTTAACACACACTAGTGTATGCCTAAAAACTTAGACTTAATCATATGCCTAGATCCAAACTGAAATTACCAAAGACCTTAAAATGTAAGGCTGCATTTAAATATCGACTTTTGTTGTGTGTTTTATCGAGCGTCAAGTGTTAGGTTTGTGCATCCGTGGGTGAATAATTTAAAAGTTGAGAGATTAAGAAGGATTAGAGTGATTAAAGGGGTGATAGGACTAGTTTACCTTATTTTAATGAGACTAGGACACGGATTCTGATTTTGGTATCCGGATATTTACGGCGGATACAGACGGATATCCGCAGGCATTTTTACAATATCTGTACTTACAATATCTGTATTATTTCGGTTCCGGTGAAACACTAATCTGTATCCATATGTATCCGTACGACTTCAACATCAACATCATCTACGACTTCAACCTAACACATAACCTCTCGGTCACCCACTCTTATAAGGGCCATTGAAAGAAATTAAACATATTTCTTTGAATTTTTCAATTATTCCCAAGTACGAAAGAACAAATGATAGCAGTCGATGAACTTGTGTTTCAGAAAAGGGAATTTGATCTTGTGTGAAATAATCTTTAATGTCATTTACTTACTTTAATAGAGATTTTTAGAATAAGTATAGGGCGATAGTCCGGGTCCCTCCCGGTCAACCTTCAGAACCCGTTTCTCGGTTCCCGGACCCGGTTTTTTCAAAATTCTGATCTCTAACTATCTCATTTAAATAAGCATAAACATAAGCCAAACGCTACATTAAAAATTGAAAAATAAACGGAAATAAACAAAATTTAATTTAGAGGTTTTTAAACGGGGGCCGTACTATTTGAGGGGCCGTACTAATTGAGGGGGCCGTACTATTTTTCAACCCTCATCTAAAGGGCCGTACTAATAGAGGGGGCCGTACTAATTGAGGGGGCCGTACTATTTGAGGAAATACGGTAACTTGGGGAAAAATTCCGCCATATCTCTCATACTTTGATTTAGACAAATTAAATGTTATTTGAAAGAATTAGAAAGAGCTGAGTCGAAAGACATCAAAATTAAGCTCGGGACTCAATTGACAGTCGAGCTATGGTCTCATAATGGTCAAAAATAGGGTTGTCGGTTTCAAACCGAACCGAAAAACCGAGAATTTCGGGTCAGTTCAGTTTTCGGGTCAGTTCCTGGTCAAGAAATGTAAAATTATTTGACTCGGCTCGGTGAGCTCTTTCAAATGACATATTGTTTGTAAGAATTAGAGTTTGAGAGAAAAATTTACCCTGTTTTATTAAAGTATGAATGTGGACGACGTTTGCGAACAAAGGGAGAGACTTTGAAAACTTTTAGGAATTCCTACCTATAAACTCAAATTCCCATCATTGTTCACTCCTTTTTTCCCTTCCCATGAATCTTCATGACGGGAAAGAGTCTCTCAGGGAAAGAGTCTCACCTAAAGCTACGTCATTCAAATTCCATTTCGGATCCTTATAAGTATTCTCTGAATTTCCCTTCCAATCAAAGGGAAATCTCTCCCATAGACGAAGAAAAGAAATTTAAACATAATTTAAATAAAAATATACTATTTTCAATAAAAACTACTTAACCGGATTGATCAATAGAAAATAAAAAAGAAAATGAAGCAAAACACTAAAACAAAAATTTTTAGAATAATAAAAAAACAGTTGGCTTTTTAATAATTTTTCTAAAAACAGTTGGCAATTGTGTTGTTTTTACTATCTATCATTCCTTTTTAAAGTGGGGGCGAAACAAAGAGAAGTTGCACCTTAAATTCCTTTTGTGTTTTTGAATGATTTTTTGGATTATTAGGCAATTATTGTTGC